AAAAGATCTAGAAGTCCCCAAGCCCATCCTAAATTGAACGCACAGTTTCAGCAGGAGTCTTTCATGACTAAAAAGATTGAAGTTTGTCAAAGGGTGGCTATCTATGGGGAGAAACTATATTCTTAATCTCTCAGCTGGCTGATGACACCTGTTACTATTCATCAAGAGGTTTCAGCTTTGAGAATCTCTTAAACCCCTGGACTTCCACTTTGACAAGTTGATCAGATACCTCACATGTACCCAATCTATCACCTGCTCTGATTCCCAGCATTTCTTATGCTACATCCCCCCCCCCTCCTCCTCCTGAAAATGACATTAAAAAGATGTCTGTCAGTACTCTGAAATTTCTGTGTAAATATCCCAAGTTTGTAACTTTTGGAAATGTAAATGTTTCTGTGAATGGGTCCTGATCCTGTTACAGTTTACAGAAAGCTACTATCATTCACTGGTGGTAAAAGATGGATTGACCCGATGTACAGTTACATATATAATATACACATGCCCGTAGCCAGGGGGGGTTCAGGGGGTTGGACAACCCCCCCCCCCCCCCCCAGGCTCAAAGGTTCACTTTTTGGTCCACTTTTTATCTAAAGGTCCAAGATTTTTCTTTAAAAGATGGACTGATTTGTGTCACCAGCGAGGCTGGAATCGTAGGAAAACGGCTCACTTTGTCATTGAAAAAAGTTATCTCAAGGTTCATTTTTCAAAATTTCCCAGGGGAGCATGCCCCTGGAACCCCCTAGAAACCTCACACCTTCGGCACTCGCCTCACGCCTACAGCGTTCGCTGTTCCCTCAAGCAGTGGGAAGAACACCCCCATTCAAAATCCTGTCTACGGGCATGATACAGGTTCAACATGTTAGAAAAAACTCCCCTGCGTCTTTCGACAAGTGCAATAAACAGAGGACCACTGCTTACAACATCTCCTCCTAGGGTCTGTAACCCTTGTAAGGAGCATCACTCAGGTGACTGACAACAGCTGGGATTCGAACTCCTAACCTCCTTGTCTTCATGTTGTACACGAAAGGCTGCAAGTCACTGAACCATACTCTTTTTTCAGGCATCATGCCTTTAATTTGGTGTGGCTAATATTGTCAGGCTGATGGAAGTGAATTGTTTATTCCTGAATATTCAACCCTTAAAATGATTTGCATAACTTATACATCTGCTATTACTGAAGTTCCCATGGACAAATTGTTTTCTGGTAGTTATTCAGGTGAATAACCACCTTTCTCCATCTTTCTCACCTTTGAAAAAACTTTGAAAGCTTGAATGCTACATGTATCTACTCCAAAGTTGAAACAAAGTCCAGAGTTCTTGTCTGTCTCAATAAACCACATGATTTACAAAGTGAAGACCATTGGTACTACTGGTAAAGTTTGTTAGTTCCTCTGGAATAACACATGTTGTCCGCTTATCTTTACAAACCATCTGTACCATCTCAAGAAACCACAAAGACAGTAAGTAAACATTGGCATCCTCCCCACTGCTCTTCTTCAGTAAACAGATGAAACATACCCCGATACATTTACCTGACAAGAAGACACTGCAACCATAATCACAAGGATCCTTTTGATTTTGTCCAAGTACTATTAATATGCATCTCAGAACTTCAGCATACAGCTGTGTTTTTGTCCAGGAAGCTATAAGTTATGTCTCCGAGTCTTGGACCACTGCCACAAACTTCTTTTCAAGATCACCCTTCAAGGAATAGCCAACTCTTCAGGGGTATCTCTACACTTGATCTTCGTCACCTCTTCCTCCTTTAAGGAAGAACTGATCTGTCCTCAGTGAGAGATATATTCAGCACTTCTGACGTCTCCATTGTACAAGGGGTAGGAAGGTTGTTGTGTTGAAGTGCCCCTTCACGTACAAGTCCCACCTTCAAAGGGCAGTCTACTACACAATGCCTCTTTCATTCACGATACCCCATATAGGTGTTCTTAGTTACGAAAAACGGCCTCAAATAGGAATAGTGTGCTATTTTCTCAGTGAACTTGTGCCCTTACCGATCTGTGCTAAGAGCTGTGTGGGTTCATGTTCATTACCAGAGGGATAGGAGAAACCTGAGGGTAGTTCAAGTGGAAATGGACTGGATGTTGTCCAAGAGTAACTAATTAACAACTGGGCCTGTACCATTGAAAAGGGTGCCTAACATATTGGGAGAAAAATTTAACCTTGCAATGTCAGAGTACACAGCTGCCTTCATGTAGTGGAAGAGATTTTGTCAAAATTAAAAATTTAAGGAAAGAAAACAGTGGCTAAAGATGCATAAGCTATGTTCTCATATTCAAACACTTTGGTGATGTTAATGAACAAAATATGTTATAGGGATTGGCTTGTATATATTGTTAGATCTAAATTGCACTCTTAGAACATTCTGTGAAATATCTCGAATGAGGTGAAAAAGTACAAAAACTCCAGGTCCTAAAGGACAGTGGTTTAGCATTTTCTCTCCTCAGTGTATTGCAGAATGTCCTCCCACAAAAAACTAACGACCAGCTAAAGTTAGAAGAGATTGTCAAAGTAAAGGGTATCTCCCAAGCTTTAGATCTTTGTTGCCATACAGTGATTTGTTGTCAAGCCTAGGACAGATTGATTGAGGTCGTCTCAATTATTTTTACAGTATAAATCATCAACGTATAAAGACAGTCGGCTTCTCACCTTCAGCTAAAATTGGAAGCATATTTATTTGACTTTTGTCATTTCTGCCCCTCCAGTTTAACACATGCCAATTATAAGGTCAAATAGACCCAGGAATGAAGCCACAAACATGCTTCACTAATCCATCTCACTCAGAAGGGGTGACCTGTTTTGGCATGGTGGTATTTCTTGCCACATTTGTACATGCCCAAACCTAACCTTTGGTTGCCCCTTTGGATGGCTTCCTGTCTCCTGAAATGCTAGAAATCTCAGCGGAGCTTAGGGCAGGTCACAACAATACATGTAGATGTCTTTCTAAGCTGTTGTGTACACATTACTTTACACCTGCACTGAAGATCTATTAACATATTATTACCTTCGCCAAGAAGGTTATGTTTTCAGTAGCGTTTGTCTGTCTGTTTGTCTGTTTGTTTGTCTGTGAACAGCATAACTCAAGAAGCTTAATATGCATTGTCATGAAACTTGGTATGTGGGTAGGTCTTGATAAGACCTAGAAATGATTAGATTCTGGGCCCCCTGGCGGCTTTTGTTGGTACTGCAGTAGAACAGTTTTGATATCTCGTTTTATAATGTATCAAACTCCTGTAGAGGAAAGGAGAGGATGCTTTGTTTCTGTTGGTATCAAAATTTGCTTTTGTTCTCTTTTGGATAGAAGAAATATGTTAAGGCATGAGGGTCTATTAAAGTATTAACTATTGATAATGTATCAAACTCCTGTAGAGGAAAGCAGAAGATGCTTTGTTTCTGTTGGTACCAAAATTTGCTTTTGATTACTTTTGGACAGAAGAAATGTGTTGTGCAAAGGCAACCCAGCTGTGCTCATAGACATTTTTTTACTATTGTTATTATGGGTACTTTTATCTGTATGTTTTATTTGGGCAAGTCATTCCTGAAATAAAGAAAGAGAGAGAGAAAGAGAGAAAGAAAGAAAGAAAGAGAAAGAAAGAAAGAAAAGTACTTCTGAGTGCAACAGTTAGTATCCATGCAATGCAGTTAATGATCAAAAAAACTCTAAACTGGATCCTTGATTTGAATCTAAACTCACATTTCTATAGAGCCTGTTATAGGCATGTATAACTGGAACTCAACTTGGACCTTTACCTTTACCTAGTTCCATCCAACTTAGATGAATCATACCAAATATCTCCCAATGAAAGTCATTCTTTTTGCCCTCTTTCGGAAGGTGACAGCGTAAACCAGATAAAGACATTTCACAGATGTCTTCATTCTCCTTCCCGCTGCAAGGTTTCTTACATCTAAGTGACCCACAGGTCGAGCTTGTTTGGTTAGTGTGGCCTTACTATGTGGAAAAGAAAACTACAAAGCAGCCCACTACCCTGCCCCATCACCCTTCAGCAGAATAACAGGAACATGCTGCTGCCTGGAGTGCTGATTCAAACAGCAGATATCAGTTTGATTCTGGAGCATAAAATGACAGATCCCAAATGTCAGTCACAATGAAAAGTTCAACCAATGAGAGAATGGCAATTAGCAGTTCGACCAATGAGAGAGTGGCTGCATGACCCTCAAATATTTGCATTTCTATGTTTTGACAGGTGGGCGGGGCTTCAGGATAGGTCTTTTGTTGTAAGTTGCTGTAGTATAGCACAAAGTTTGGAGTAGATAGTTTGTTTTTCATTTACCACATTAAATTTCAAGTCAAACATTTTCTATAAGTTTTCTTAGCCAAATCACCTGCCTTATAAGTTTTGTTGCCTTCCTGAGCTTACTAATACATGCTAGCTTTTATGCCAACAGAATCAGTCAGAAGTGAACAAGAGTTCTAAAGCTAACAGGGCAGACATCCAGGCTAGAAGTAGAACATTGTCTATTGATGACTGGCAAATTCTTTTAGCCTGAGTGTCAGCCTTTTTTAGCTTCCATCTGTTCCGCATGATCCACTACTGGCCAAAAAGCAGAACGTGGGGAGTGGACAAAAGTTAAAAGGCTACTGTTCTTTAGGATGGCAACACATGTTCTGATTGTGTCAACTGTGTTGCTCAGGTTTCAACACATTGATATTGTGCACTGCAAACAGTCAGTGAATGATCTAGAAAATGTACATTGATGTGGGGTCATGTGGCATAACGGCAGAGTGCTCGACTCTGAACCAAGTCTAAGAGGTCCCGGGTTCGATACCTGAGATGCCACCGATCTTGTGCCCTTGGGAAAGGCACTTTACACAACTTTTGTCACGTGCCTCAAGTGAAAATGACTATTGTCTCTTCTGTATTTGTTTCTATGTGTGGGACACAACACCAGCAATAGCTGCCTTGTTTCATGTGCCTTGTTGTATTGTTCAATAAATCAAATTGTTCATTGATGTGTTTCTGCAGACTACTACAACGTGACTGCAGCTGTGGAGGAGGCTAACAAGGAGCTGCAGGTGCTGCGGGAGTCAGCTCAAGGGTCGCCTCTCAGGATTGGCCAAGGTAACAGAAATTTCACTTCCTGTCACCGTACATGTTTCTACCTCCTACCAGTTAGAACCCCCTCTCCTCTCTTCCTATGCCATCTCTGTACTTGACAGGAAGTGGACTTCTTTTCGGGATGTGTGAAGAAGAGAAATACAGTCAATTGTGTACAAGTAACCATGTCTATATTATAAGGACCAACTAGCCATTGTGACTGCTTTTTGGTGGTATACCCACTCATGCTTCTTCTTGGATGTCCATTGCCAGGCTACAACAGTCAAAATTGCCCTAAACCAAGAAGAGTGCCTCAGAGGACTGAAAAATCTGTTCTATGTGACTGTACAGGTGGTCACTGTGGACAGGATTTCTAATGGCAAATGCTTCTGTCAATGGGAAGAATTGTATCACCACCACCAAAAAAATGGCCAGGTGGTCCTCATGCACAGGTGGTCACTTGTTCAAGTTTGATTGTAGGTAATATCTGATTGGTATTTTTACAAAATTAATGGAAGTAACCATAGAAAGTTGAAAGGGTAAAATAACCACCAATTTTCCATGCTTGACCCGAACAGGAAATATTTGGGTCACATCTGCCAGTACTTTGGTGCCAAGGTTAAGTATTATGGACATTTCTAATGTGGCAGAAAATTGGGGGATAAAAAGTCAGGACATGGGAAACCATGGAAAAAACATCTGTCTGTGATAAGAATATGGTTTGGAGACATTATGATTACAAATAAAACATCAGAAGGAAGAAGAAAAAGGAATTTTTGTAGGTCAGGGACAATGTCTGCAAATACGAAAGAGACTGTGAGACACAGTTTCATCAGGTTGGAAAGTCACTGACTCTTTTTACACAACCAAGTCTTTTATTCAGCCGGCATTTTGTAGATTGCATTGTAGATACAGTTCCCAGAGTGTAACCACGCATATGTAAATTAATATTGTACGTTTGGAAATGCATCTATAACAATGACACCTGTACTGCAGTGCAATGTGAACCAGTCAGAATTGCCCTGAGGAAGGTGACAGATGGTCACTGATACGTCGGCTGAATAAAAGACTTGTGTAAAAAAAAAAGAGTCTCTTTACTCTATACTATATTATCTTCAGATTCCAGGCTAAAAGCAGCAAAGCTGGCCTGTGTACATGTAGGCCCTGGAATCAGTCTGGCTGGCATCCAGGCAAATACTGTGGTAGTCCATAGTTTTCATTGATGACATACACATACATGTAGGTCAGAATACTCAGCATCCTCCCCTGATCCATTCCTAGCAGGGAGCCTTCTCACATACTTTTCTTTACTGAAGCCCAGCAGGCATCTCAGTGATCTCTGACCTACAGTAAATGAAGATATCAGGGTAGAAACAACATTGGAGAGTCCCAAGTGGGGGAGGAACTAGAGATCATTTTCTTTCAATTTATGAGGATAATGAGATACTGTGTTAAATTTGCCTCTTGTCAGGATGATAGGTTGAGGCCTGTCAGATCAATTATGGTCAGATTAATGAGGGGTGCTTTGAGATTCTTGCTTGAAGCGGATGCTATGACAGTTGCTGAACACGTGCCATTAGCTAGACACTTCTGAATCTGAAGCACATTACTGCAACACATGCCTGTAGTCAGGTGTGGTTGGGTGGGGCGTGTGGTTTGGAAGAACCCCCCACAAGGCTCAAGAGTCCACTTTTTATCTAAAGGTCTTAGATTTTTCTTTCAAAAAAGATGGACTGATCACCAGTGGGCCTAGATTTGTAGAAAAACTGCACACTTTGTCATTGAATAAAAAAGAAATCCTCTCAAAAACGCAGGAAATGCCATATTTCAGAAGATTACATTTTCAAATTTAAATGGAAACTCTAGGAAACCCTAGGAAACTCAATGGACATGCCTTTGGTGTTTGCCTCGCTGGTCCCTATAAGAGGGCCTGCAAGGGGAGGTAGTGATTACGAATTACGCAAAATTTTCGTCGCTCCTTATTACGAATTACGTTAAAGTCTCAGAGCTGATTACGACTTTACGATTTGCGGCTGATGTCCAATTACGAATTACGTTGATTTTTGCGGAGGCTGCCTACGAATTACGAAGTCTAAAACGGCCTGATTACGCCTTACGAAAAAGGGCTTGCAGGCCCTCTCAAAAATGTAGGAAATACCTTTCAGAAGGTAACCATTTTCAAAATTTTCTTGGGTAGCATCCCCCAGACCCCTATAGGAAACTCATGCCTTTGGGGTTTGCCTCGCTGGTCCCTAACACCTTGGGAAGAACACCCCCATTCAAAATCCTGGCTAGGGGCATGCAATATTATAGCTGAAGGCTTTCAACATCTCATCTTAAGGATTGTTTCCCCCACAGTTTTAGCTTGGGATCCAACACAAGGATGTTTAAGGATTGAACATCATCTTGCAATCCAGAAAGCAGACCCTGTAAATTCACAATACAAAATAACTGTAATTCAGGTACTCAATAATATCTACATGTACATACAAATGTAAAGAATGTCTCATATTTGGGGTGTACGTTATTGGAATTTGTCTAGCCCAATTAGCTTATAAGCACTACCAGCATTTTTGCTGTGGAACTGTTGTTCCAACATGGAAGAAGTGTGCAGGGCACCTGTTTTCTATTTTGATTAGGGGGCTAGTATATCCTGTGTTGTTTGCCCTGTCCTGAGGGTGAAAATGCAAACCAGCAGGGGAGCCTTGTTCAGAGTCTGTATTGATGCTGGAATGGTGGACCACCAAGGGTGACCAGCTACTGACTCTCAGGATAAAATGTCTTCTTTGTTCCGGGATGCTTCAAAGTCTTTGACTATGAATTCTACCCTCTGAAGCTGTACGTGTGTCTCTGCTGGTACATCAGTAACGTGACATGTAATGGTCATCAGGTGGTAAGGCCATCAGCGAATCAAGGTCGTCAGAGGTCTGAAGGTCAAGGGATGCAGTTAGAAGGTCAACTTGGTGGAACACTGCATTGGTCAAGGTCATCTGCAGATAAAAAAAAGTTGCTGTCATTGTGGTTCTTTTGGATCAACTACAAAATGATAAAGATTTGTCAGAAGTGTCAAAAAGTGTCTTAAAATAAGCCCTCTTACTCCTAGATGTCATCTGAAGGTGACTTATCAGTAAAAGAAGCTCAAGCTATCTTCTGTGTTGCTTATTAACTCCAGCTGTGCTCTTAATTGCATTACACACCCCTGTGTCAAAATGCCAGAGTGTCCTGAGGCTAATCTGGGACATGGATACAGACATGAACAGGGCTGCATGTGTCTGTGGAATGTTACAACAACAAACCCACACAGGTTAGGTGCAGGAAAATCTTTATCCATCTGATCTGGAATAGATGGTTTTTGGGCACCTCTAATACAACTTTGTGTGTCTCAGCTACTGTCGTTGGATTTTTACAGTGGTTTCTTCATGTCTCTCAGACCTTATGAGGAGTCTTACACTCTTCAAGTACTGTAATATTTCTGTTTGCCTAACATGAATGCTTCAGTTCCTCTACATAGTTACAATGATCTTTGCCACTGCAAAGTGTGTCACACAGCATATGTCCACACCAGGGTATGAAGCAGTTTAAATTGTAATTTCCAACACAAAAGACTGGACTTTACATGTACCTCATGATGACAAATGGTCAAGCCTGGTGTGCAACATATCTAACAGAGTTCTCAAGTCATTTTTTTCATTCCAGCCAATTAATTATAGTTCAGATAGCCACTAGTGAAATCCTCTGGCTGACTTGAAATGTGGTGCTTTTAAAGTTTTTGGCAACTGGTCTGACTTGTGATTACATGTACTACCACAAGGTCTGGTTCAAATCTAATGGCCCAGACATTGGAAACTCAGTATATTATGGGTGTCTATGATCCTTTGAAGATAATGTTGTAGCTTGTTTTTAGCTGTCAGAAACCTTGTGGTTAGGATTACAGACGACTAGGCCACAGGACATGTATTATCTACCTCTAAAGAATCACCACTAAGCATTTTCTTATGGGATGACAACTGTTTTTTCTGGTTTTATTACTCACAGTTTAGAGTTTGCATCCCCGATTTGAGGCATGTTTGGTTGAACCCCCTCCCCACGAATCATCCCAATGGGGGCCTGCAAGGGGGGGGGTGTCCCGACAACAGTCTACACTGAATTCGGAAACTTCTCGATTACGCTTTACAATAAATTCCAAGTGGCTACAACGCATTATGTAGAATATGGCAAATACGCTCTACGCAAAATGTGCCAATTACGCTCTATCTTGAATTAGAGCAGCCTGTCTCTGATCTACGTAGAATTAAACTGGCCGATTATGCTCTATGGAAAAGGGCTTGCGCCCAATTGTATAAGACTGTACATTCTGTTTTTCAGACCCTGGAGTCCAGTCACAGGGTTTCCCTGTGGCAGTGGGGGGACAGAACCAGGATATAACCGGGGAGAGGGTGTCCAAACTGGAACGTACCATCGACGGACTCACCCTCATGATCAACATGATGAAACAACAGGTATGTACTTTAAATTTGTTCCTTCTGTCTTTTTTTCTCTACAGCAATGGATAGAGATAGATATCCATCTATACCTTGGTTCTAAAATGTTGACTAGAGCTACATGTAGAAGACGACAAATTTCATGTACTTCAACAAAGGTTATACATCAGTTTACAACATTACATGATAGTATTGATACAAAATGAACCAAGCAACTGGATAAATTTTCTATAGAGTCAGACTTTTCAGATAGTTTCCACATCTTTCAAGTCCCTGATGAAAGTTAGTAGTGGATGCTATCAGAAACTCATCTCGTCAAAGAATTTATCCAGTTGCTTATGTACTAATTTGTTCCTTTACTCTTGCTTTTTCCAGAGCTTTTTTAAGGGAAACAGATGAATGTACATGTAGTACAAAGTTGCCATGCTTAAATGTAGAGCAAGAAGACAACAACTTTACTTTGTCAATCTGATTCCTTTCAGCAAGCAGACCTGTTGCGAAGGATCGCAGCCCGTGAGCAGTGTGCATGTAACCAGGAGCTGAGACAGTGTGTGTTTGATGGAGACAGTCATGAACATGGGGAGCAGTGGCAGACTAACCCATGTGCCATGTGTACCTGTGAGGTGGGTAGTGTAGCATGTCGGCAGAACGTACTGCACCTGTGCAAAACCTGTAATAAATTGTGCATAGCACTTCAGCAGAGGGTTTCATATGAGGTCGTATTCGCGAATATAAGGTTAACATTCGATCTGTAGTTTCCCAATGTTACGTCGGAAAAGATATCCTCTGCAACAGCCAAAATTCTAATGCAACAGTGACCAAACATCCAACAAAAACCGTGAAAAAATCAGGGTTTCGCACAGGCGCAGTACATTTTGCCAACGTGCTGGGTAGTGTAGTCATACTGTACTCTAGTCAGCACTTTTAAAGGAACATGAAGCATACGTTATGATGTGTTTTGAAATCCTTCTCTGTAAGATTAAAACAAATCAGCCTGATGGTACTGTCACATGGAACTTTGTCAATTTTAGAGTATGTTCTTTGATGTTAAAGTACTGTACCTGTAAATATGTTGGTATTATTTGTAAATAGTAAGAAACATGTATCGTACAAGTTGATAGTGAGATAGTTTCAGTGAGATAAGCTCTTAGTTTTATTCTTGACTTTTTCAGGATGGACAAGTAGTCTGCTCTATCCCTAAGGACAGACCAGAATGTTTTGGTAAGTACATTTTTTGATGGACAATGAAGAATACTAAAGATAGATTTGCAGGTTTCTTTTCCATATTGTCTTACACATTTTAACTTAATGTATTGTCTAACCATGTGTTATATTTTGTCCATATTGTATAAAGTACATCACTGTTTTCATGGACAAAGAAGAAAAGTACTGAAATAGATTTAAAGCTCATAAGATACTGTCTTAGACCTACAAAAAAATGTTTCCAGACCGACCCTAGCCTTTTCTTTGGGGTACACCACTGCAAGGGACATAAATGTTTTGAACTGATCAACCTTTTCTGTAGCTCCATGATCTGACACCTGATTGATGAAGCATTGTACATTCGGTTTTCTAACATTGACAAAGTAAGAAAAATGATAATCCCTACCTACAGACCCTAATTCTTTTCTGGACTGAAACAGGAAACACGACATTTTTTTTCCTAGGCCTTACAATCTCTTTCTTCTGTCCCAATTGCAGACCCCTGTACTCAGTCGCCATGTCTGAACAACGGGCGATGTGTGCGTGAGAGAGACTCGGTCAACTTCACCTGCGCCTGTCCTCCGACCCACGCGGGCCCGCGCTGCCAGTACGAGCTGAACGTGTGCGTGCAGCACGTGGCGCCGGGCGAGTGTAAACGCTCCATCCCTCGCTTCTTCTACAACCTGTACAACCAGAAGTGTGAACCCTTCATCTTCTCTGGTGAGGCCACATCAGACCTACAAATGTATAGATTTGTTTTTAGGGGAGGGACCAGTAAATGGACTTTCCATTGGAATTCTAGTCAAAGTCAAACTATGCCAAAGGTCACACTTTTTGGCCAGATTTTAAAAATGTACATTCTTCAGTCCTCCTTACCAGAAAACTGGGCTTTTCTGAGAAAAATCTGAGGGGGGGGTAAAGGTAGAGCAACAAAAATTGTAAGATGTGTGTGTCGCATTTTGTTGCCCTTGGTGCTGAATGACCATCATATCAATACATTCTCAACAGTTTTGTTGTCCTTGTTTCCAAATGATGATCATCCTTAACAATTATCTTTACACAACCTATAGTAACGTTTATGACATTCAGCTAAGTTACCTCGGTTCTTAATACTGAAAAATCATCTCTAACACATGCACTAAGAATAGTTGTATCAGATGACACTGTCTCTGTCCTTGGTGCTGAATGATAGCCATTTATACCTAAGTAGAGTTAGTATGTTTGCCCTATGCTGTCTCTTTCCTTGGTGCTGAATAACCATCATTTACACTGACACTAGACATACATTTATTAGATGACATTCACAACATGTTGGTCCTGTCCTTGGTGCTGAATGCTAAGCTAAACAACTGTTACTGTAACTGAATAAAATTTGCCCTGTCCTTGGTGCTGAATGACTATCATACGCATTTATATATACTAGGTTTTTATCTACAATTGTTTATGGTCCAAAATGTTGAACATCTGCTTAGGTAATGATATTCTTCCAACTTTTCCAGGCTGTAACGGGAATGGTAACAACTTCAAGACCCTTCAGGACTGCCAGAGCCGGTGTGTGATCGGTGCCTGCTGCCATCGCAGCTTCAGCAGGACCAACCGGCCTGATGTCACCATCAACAAAGGGTTTGTGGTGCTGCAGCAGGGGGTGACATGCCAGGTAAGGGTTTGTGATCGTGCATCTGGACCAAGAGGTTGAGGGTTCAAATCCTGACTATTGTCATTCACTCATCATGCACATTACCGAAAAGGGTCATAGTCCTTAGGAAGGTGCTACAACAGGGGGTGACATGCCAGGTAGGTGTTGGTGTTACCGTGTGTCTGGACTAAGAGGTTGGGGGTTCAAATCCAGACTATTGTCATTCACTCAACATGCAAATTTCTGGAAAGGGTTACAGTCCTTGGGACGGGACGTTTAGCCATGGTCCACTGTTCACTGTACTTGACAAAAAGAGCAAGGGAAATTTTCCTTGTTCAATGAATCTGTGAATATTCTACATAGCACCTGTCTTCACTTTCCCGACCAGTTTAAACTCTTCAGCTCATCTTTTGCACATTTTTAGATTTACTGCTTTGCTATATTTGAAAATTGCGTCATTTTAGACTGACATTCTGCTCATCTAGGTTCGTGACCTGGATGAGTGCCGGAGGTTAGAGGTCATGACCCCCAGTGACAATGTGAGAAGAGAGGTCGTGGCCTTCCAGCCAGGTCAGCAGTGTGAACCCGACACCTGCAGGACTCCCCCAGGTAGGGTCACAGGTCACAGTATTCAGAGAAATTTACCTTGAATATGAACTGTAATGTTTCTAAATTAAATGTGTAACAATACAGAAAAGTGTACTGTGAAAAAAGATAATATTTATGTTTTTGCTACTTTTCCTCTTCTTTTCCAAACCAAAAAGGTCAATGACCTGAACCAGACTGTTACCATGGTAACTAGTGTTGGGTTACATCATGTTGCAATTTTACAGCAGGAGGGATTTAGACTCCTGTCTGACCATATATATGAATGTGTTCGAGTTAGAATTGACAGAGTAGACCATATGTGAAGGTTGACATTATGCATTAATTTGCTTCGCAAATGTTACCTTTCTAGTGGTTTCAATAGCATGTTTTTTTGTTTGTTTTAACCAAAGGTTGTGTGGTGATTGGAACCAGGAGATTCTACAGGTCAGGAACGACCTTCAAGCATGGCTGCCAGCAGTGCACATGTGAGCCGAATGGGAACATAGACTGCAGGTAGGTGTCACTGTTATTGTCTTCTGTTATGTTGGGGTTCATGTACTTAGTTATAACAAAAGACAGACAGGAAAGAGTTAATTTATGGGGCAGCACTGCATGTTATTATTGTACCCTATGTTAAGTTTTGAAGCTGTTCTTTTCTGACTTTGTCATGATTTCCTTCAGGTGTGTTCAGATGACTGTAAGGAAGGAGATCAGGGACATGACCAAGGAAGAAATGCAGCGCTTCCACGACGCCGTCCAAGAACTGAAGGATTCTGGTCCCAACAACGCGTGGGACGAGTTCCGCGACCTCTACATGCACCACATATCCGAGGCAAAAGGGGGCGCTTCGTTCCTGCCGTGGAACCGGCTGTTCCTGCGTCGTGTGGAGCAGAAACTTCAGGAACTGGACTGCGGTGTTGTCCTGCCCTATTTTGACTTCACCACCGATGTTGGGAACTTCGCCGAGGCGATTATTTGGCAAGCGAACTATTTCGGAGGGAACGGGAAGGGCGTTTGCGTCCCAGACAACCCGTTCGAGGGATCGCAACCCTGGCGACCTTGTCTGGTTCGCGACTTCAACCTCACAGTCCAGCTCCCAACCATGGTGGACATGCTGCTCGCCATAAGTGTGAACGACTACGAAACCATGCGGAACTGTCTGGAAACGTACGCTGCATACGTCAACCTCTTTGTTGGCGGCGACATGAAATCCGTGGCAAGTCCGTACGATCCGCTCTACTTTGCCATCTATTCCTATATCGATTTCTTGTACTGGAGGTGGCAAAACAAGCCAGGAAACCGACCAGACAACTACCCTGAGTTTCTGAAGGAAGTTCCAATGTACCCGTTCCATATTAGACCGGAGGATGTCCTAAACATTGAGTCACAACTCTGCTACACATACAGGCTTCCTTCTATAGGCACACCTTGTAACAACACTGATGCGGCCACCATCTTTGGGCAGGATGGGTTCAACGAACTTGGGTTCAACAGACAAGGCTTTGACAGGAATGGATTTGATGTGTATGGATTCAACTTACAGGTGAGTTTTATGGTCTCACTTTAATTGCCCTATTACTACAAACAATGTATCTGTTTACTAGTAATATCCACTCTTTAAGTATGCTGTTGCAGGGGTCTCTGACATAGGTTTGGGGTACAATCAGCCTGTTATCTCATAGGAGTTCTGATTGACATTGAATTCATAGGCTAATTAATAATTAAACTTTTAAAGATGATTATGCTTCATCATGAACAACTTTAACTTGTCATACATTGTACTGTGTTCCAAAATGTTTGTGTGACTTGTAATGGTAACATTTATAGAAATGATGTTCTGTTAGCTGTTTTGTTTGGTCAATGCCCTTGTAAAAAATGTAACAGTTGTTTCTGTCCATTCCTATGACAGGGTTATGACCGTAGAGGCCGGCCAGACTCAAGAAACCTGTACAGCGCAGATGGCTATGATCAGTTTGGGTATGACAGAAGTGGCTATGACAGACTGGGGTATGACCAATATGGATATAACAAAGAAGGTAAGATTTGAGAAAATTTTGCTATTTCCCACTGTACATTTTGAAGGTTAAATTTTGCTGGTAGACTAAGCTTAGTTTATTGGCTGTTTCCATGTCTTAAAGTTTACAAATTACATGCTAATTTTTGTCCATTAAAGGTGATGGTTTGGGCAAAATTTTTCCGTCATGAGCAGCAAAATTCAATCAAATTGGTGACTAGTGGTGGCTAGAACCCGGGTTGAATACTTTCTGTGGATATTTTGAATCATTGGTCTTAAAGAACGTTACACATTCTTTTTTACAACAGGGTTTAACAGAGATGGCTTTGACAACTCCGGTTACGACGGTAGCGGCTTTGATCGCTATGGTTACGATCGTGACGGATACGACAGATGTGGATACAATCGCCAAGGTTATAATCGCCAAGGGGAACAGGACCAGAGTGAATATTATGGGCCAGAGGGATTCTGTGATGCCTGCTATGACATCAGTGGTAAGTCCATGTTTGGCTGAAAAGTTTTGGACATTGAGAAGAGATTTGAGTTGCTCACAAATAACTGCAGGATTATTGCTGATTTTTCTCTTAGGATTAAGAAGATACTGTTGATACGTACGTTTACAGGCTCATGGTTGACCATGCATCAGATACTGTAAATCACTTAATATTTGCAGTAACAAAATTTTGCAGTATGAGAAAAATTGACATGTTTGCAGTACTATATCTTATGGTGGAAGGAAGAAAGAATGTTGGCGAATTATTTTGGTAATGATAAATTTGCATTATAGAAGTGACTGCGAAAAACGTTGTGATTTACAGTAACTTTTCTTGTCTTTTTTGTCAGGGTTGACAAGAAGTGGATACGACCAGTTTGGGTACAACCTGCGAGGATATAACCAGCAGAACTGTAACTACTCCTACAGCGGCCCTCATGTCACTTCCCTGCTCTATCGTGTGCAGGTGAGTTACATTTAAGCTTTGTTGCATCTGGTACATAGAGAATACAACATTATTCGTATTATATGTATTCCGTATTGCCCTAGGTACCAGCCCAACCGCGATCTGACTTGGGGAGGGTTGGGACCAAGGGTTATGCGAATTACACTGTGTTTTTATATAATTATATGTCATACCCACCCAAAAACACACCTTTCAATGCGAAATGAGTGAAAATTTGGCGTTCCTAAACCAAAAAATGCAACAACATCAATTCCAACATCCAAATCCTGTATTTGACTTTTCAGAAATGGCGCACGCGGTAGCTAGGGCAAGACTTGTTCGAATCATTCTGTGGAAGCCAGAGCTGTACCATAAAGTATGACCCAGTCCGGAACACCAACATCGAAGGTTATCACGGCTTATGATATAGAAACAGTTGTTCTTGCATTCACATTTGTTGTTTTCTCAGGACCGACTGTATCAGCAGAACAAAAACTTCCTGATGACGATCGAGCGTACATGTGTGGAGCTCCAGCCTCTCCCAGTCACCTGGTACGAGCAGAACTGGATCCAGGATCGCAAGGACGTGACCAAAATGATCCCAGTCAAGATCTCACAGTATCCTGGATCAAGCTGGGCTGACAGATTCTGTTTCAAGGTAATGGAGTGATGTACTAGAAAGTGTAGGATGTCCAATGAACACTCTTTGTTTGGAGATTTTCTTATAGTAGGTGTATGATCATGGAGGTAACAGCACATCATAGCAAACTCTGAAGAAGTGCTGTTTTGTCGACCGATGCAACTCAAGTTGTGTGTAAAAACATTTTCGATTCATGTCAGATTGTCAGATTACAAAGTTTAATGTATCAGAACTTATGTGTGTGTACAAATCCTTACATAAAAAAAACAAGAAATTGGAGATTTCAGAATCTCAATTCTGAGAAGTATTTTTTGGTTTCTGTAAATTTATTGAAACAGCCAAGGATTGTATGATGTGCTTCAATCAGGACAAGGACAGAAACTATGCTGAAATGGAGTGTTGCTTATGCAATCCACAGCTTCCTAATTGTATTTTTCAAACCTCGATCGTCTCTTTCTTGTTCCCTTAGGTTGACAACTTCATCTCAGCGTGCCCCTGTGACACAGAGTACGTGATCTGCCGGCGGAACCCCTGCGCCGGCCTCACCTGTGCCGCCTTCCCCCAGGCCGAGTGCCGCGTGGACTTCTGCGGAACCTGCACCGCGGTCTGGTTCGTGGGGAACAGGATCGTCAACTGTGATGGTGAGATGGCTTAGTATGTGTTTAGAGTTGAAACTTGAGATACAACACAAAGAAGTTCTCTCACCTTGAGCTTTCGATCAGTCACTCAGTAGACTGACCCAGTGAAGCTTGTCACATGTCTTGTTTGAAGTGTGATGGCGTATGCTTTTTGGCTGTCGATAGACCATAAAAAATAAAGAAAGGAATAGATAAACTGCCCTCTGATGTAAAGCCACATTGCACTAATTATACTAGTACATGTAAGTACTTGAAAATCATTGTGCTTCACCTCAGTTGAGAATGACAGAGGCACATGGCGGGCTGCCATCAAGCCTCAGCACCAGACTGTGCAAGTACAAAGTATGTCTAACCCTCGAATGACAGGAACAACAGGTGATAAACCGGATATAGTGAGTGAGTGTGAGTGTTGAAATGAAGAATAATATTATACAGCAAAATACAACATAATTGAAACAGACAAAAGGATCAAATATGATACATCATAAATATCTTTATGTTGCAGGCTGCTTACAGGATGGAGTGCAATATGCTGAGGGATCATCATGGCAACCGGAACCCTGTCAATCATGCACCTGTCAGATGGGGCGTGTCCTGTGTGCACCCATCATCTGCCCCCCTCCCCGCTGTAGGAACCCTGTGTCTGTACCCGGGGAGTGCTGCCCCTCACCATCTTGTACCGGTGAGCAACAACACTCCAAACATTTCCAGGAAAGACTTTGTTTACACAAATGTACATGTAGTATACATGTATTGACTTGTTGTGTGGTAATCTACTGTTATAATACTATACATGTAACTTTGTGTGGTAATCTACTGTTATAATACTATACATGTAACTTTGTGACTTATTCCCCCTACCTGCCATGGTCATTGGCAGGGCAAAGGTAGACATGAAGATTTTCCTCCAGACTTGTCTCTCTGTGACTGCTGTCAGTATTTCTTGAATCATAAGGAACAATTTTACAGGAAGTCAACTGTGTTAGTCTGCAAGTATGTCTTTACAAAAATGCAAAAACTCTATATCTGTGCTTCATCATTTATTTCATCATTCTATGCCTTATATGGTTAAACCAATGTTACGTACATGTAACACATGTTGATAGATGTGCGAGTTGACATACTTTATTTCCTGTCCTCACAGATTGTGAGTACAAAGGCAAGGTGCACAGGGAAGGTACAGAGTTTATAGACCAGGTGGACGTGTGCCAGACTTGCACCTGTCAGGTGAAAATTCTGAAGACTTATCTTTTATCTTAAATTTTGTCATTAAACCAATTTACTGTCTTGAAAAGGAATCATGAAGTATTTTCTTTATCTAATGAATCGGATCTAATGAACTATTTTCTTTAGACAATTTAGGGCACAATCATTTAATGAGTCAATTACATCTATCTTGATATTCCCTACATCAAAGAGAGGAAACGTAGAGTGTGCGAGGATGTTCTGCCCACAGCCACAGTGCTCCAACCCTGTCCCACAGCCTGCAAAGTGTTGTCCTGTCTGTCCACAAGGTAGGTAACAGCTACACTAGTACCAGACAGTACCTAGAATAATATCCTGTAACACATTACTTTACAGGTGATATAATTTTTTCTCATAGCTGTACTACAGTAACCACAATGCATCTAATAAAGTAGGATATGTGTTGCTTGATGGTATTCGGAAATGAACGCTACTTGGTGATTTGTACTCTAATGACTTAGACATTGGCTGATAAAGAGGGGAGACATTTGTCATCTTTTTTGTTCCATCTCTTGTTTTCAGAGTTGAACTGTGGTGAGCACAGAGATGGGGAGAGATGGCAGCGGGACTCCTGTACCACCTGCACCTGTGTGGTAAGGTCCTGCTGCATTACAAGTTTTAAGATGTTTTATAGTCTTCAAGGCTATAACTCATTCGTATTGTCTTTCAAAATAATAAAATGTCATTGTCATGTTTCCTGTTGACCCTAGGCTGGAGTTGAGGACTGTGTGACCCAGAGATGCCCTCCTGCTCCATGTCAGTATCCCAGAATTCCTGCTGGCAGGTGCTGCCCAGAGTGCAAAGGTCAGGGTCAACATATCATAAGACTAAGTGTTTTTGATGTCAACTGATGTCCGCTTACATTCTGAACTGAACTGAACTTATTCCCTTTTAGTTGTTTATCAGGGATTTCTCAAAATGATGAGCATTTCTCTCAAGATATTCACAAATATCCTGAGAGAGTGAAAGATTTTTTGCCGACAACTTTTTAAATATATTTTATATCCCAGGTTGTGAGTATGAAGGCAGGAAGCTGAGGAATGGACAGATCTTTGATGCCGACAGATGCACAAGTTGTACCTGTCTGGTAAGGGCCTTTGTTCACCCAATTTCTAATTGCTCTTTGTCTTAACTTACTGCCCTGTAATGTTCTCATCTACATGTAAATGCAGGATTCTTGATAACATCTAGATCCTAAGGATTATAAGAAAACACCATCTTGTATTTACAGACAGTAATGTTACTGTAATACTTTGTTTAATATATAAAGTTTGTAATGGTTTGTTTACGTAAGTGAGTAGCAAAATGTTGTTATCGTAATGATTGTGGGTCTGAATAAATTCAACTCAATAATTCCAGAGGGGCCAGGTGGAGTGCCGGAGGAGGGAATGTCCTGTCCTGCTGTGCCAGGATCAGTACACACCCCCTAGGGAGTGCTGTCCTCGCTGTGAAGGAGGTGGGTTCAACATTACAACATTACTGGTTGTGTACATGTATACTATCACATTCACATTTGCCATCAAGAAGTAGCCCTAAGGTACTGTATACAGTTATAGAGTTTTAGTTCAATTTAAAATCATTGTCAACGCTTGCATCTGTTGTCAATGTGGTTCACCACTCCTCAACTTTACCTTAAAAAGTTTAATTGAAGAGTATATTTTCGGATAGTCTTGCGTGGAGAGAGAATAATATGGAGAAATCATAAGCCAATTGTTCATTCCCACTACAGGCTGTGAGTATGAAATGATGACGTTTGATGACGGCACCTACTTCACCCCCATGTCCAACCCTTGCCTCAACTGTTCCTGTCTGGTAGGTTAATATATGTATTTACAAATGTACTAGACTTGTTTTTTCTTTTGTTCTACAATTACAGTTGACGATACTAAGTTAGATTTAGAAGTGTTGGGTGTGATGCTTAATGTAAATTTGTGCTATGATAGCTTTCTTGTAGCAGATGTTATTAGAGCATTAAAAGAAAACATTAGGAATTTAATGTTGTACTTTTTATGATTGCCCACCCTAGCAAGGCCTGGTGAGATGTAACCCAGTCCCCTGCCCCCCTGCTCAATGTTCTAACCCTGTCAAGCCACTGGGAAGATGCTGCCCTATCTGTCCTGGTAAGACATTGAAATACACCTTTAATGAAATACATGTGAATGTTAAGATAAATGACATGTCAAATTTCTGTATTTTATGTGACTGTGCATCCTTTATTGTAGCATACTGAATTACTCTTATATGTTTACTCGTGCTTGTAACTGTGTTGTCCTTCTCTGTGTTCTGTCTTGTGTAATGTGTGACTGTATGTTGTAAATCAAATTGTGACTGTTGTTTATTGTATGTTGAAGGCTTCCACAGTGTGGTCTGTCCTCTGTCATGGCAGTGACAGGTATTCATTCTCTACACTTTCATCAGCTGTTACAAATGTTTTGTGTTCCTTTTCAAAGAATACTCCTGCTATAGCATCTTGTCTTGTTGATGTCTTTTCTATTGTCCAAAAGTCTTTAATGTATGGTACATTTAATCTATATATGTTTTAAAGTTTCCTATTTTGCCATGTATGTACCAGTAGTCTCAAATTTTGATGTACATGTAAACTACTGTCATTCATAGTTACAACCAAGTTATTGAAGGGTTCATGGATTCCATTTATCTTCATACTATTATTAGATGTTTCAGGAAGCACTTCTCAGATACTAGATCTTTAATGGTGAGTGTTAATATCTGATGATTGCTTTTCTCCACACCAATCCCCAGCCTGCACCCATGATGGCGCAGCGTACAGCGAAGGACAGACATGGCGCACACCAGACAACTGTCAGGAGTGCAGCTGCAGGGTAAGGCAGCATATTGTCATTACTATGTAATGCTTAATATGTAGGTGTTAATTTATTGATTTACACATAGCTTCGGATAAGACAGATAAACTAACTGTTAGATAAAACTTTCTGTGTTCCTCTCCCAATTGTTGTGACTAACAACCTTCTATACAATCCCTATCATGATTTAGAAGTACATGTGATTACATTCTGCTCAATTCTTCAACAGCTTCATTTTTTAATCCCATTATTTGATTGTTTCCCCCACAGGGTGGCCGTGTGAACTGTGCAAACCTACAGGTGTGTCGACAGACATGTCCACATGGAGTCAAGACACCTGGCACCTGCTGCTCACCTTGTACAGGTAAGACAGACAGGTGCTTGAACTGTATTTACCTATGCCACATGCCATGGTACATGTACATTTTTGTAAATGCTACTTTGTGTGGAATACATCTAGTATGCACTTTTGGATTATATGTTACTGTCCATTCTCCAAATGCATATTTTCAATGGGTATATGCATGGAGGGTTAACCTCCTTGGTATATGCAATGTTATTATTTCCAATGTCCTGATTGTATAACAAAAACTTCAAAGTGTATAACTAGCCTTTCATACCTTCCAGATTGCTTCTATGAAGGACAGTCTATCAGGAATGGGATGACATTTGTGGCACAGGGTGACCTGTGTAACCAGTGCAGATGCTCAGTAAGTAGGGCACTTTCTACATACAATGTATTCACTAAGTCTTGATTTGTAATATATAATGCTGTTCTGGACTACATGTACATCTGATTGTGTGTCATGTTGAAAAATCTATATTTCATAATTCCTGCTGCCAGTATGGAGTTGTCCAGTGTGTTCGTGAGCAGTGCCAGCCTGTCAACTGTGTGGATGTAGAAGTGCCCCCTGGCAGCTGCTGCCCAGTCTGCAGAGGTATTGTTTGTGAAAGCTTTGCTTTTCATGTTGCCTGTAGTTTATCCTGGCCGTAGCAATGTGCAATATATTTTGTAAAATTTTAGGTGTCTTTATAATGTGAGTAGAAGGTTTGCTGCAACATTTTGCTTTTGTCAAGATTTGTACGGAATAAAGCGCATTTGAAGTACAGTTTACTTAAGATTTTCATCATCATTTCTATCCCTAGGTTGCGTTGACAGTTACGGCCAGAGTCATGTGTCTGGAGCCCAGTTCAGGTCACCTGAGGACCGGTGTCAGATATGCACCTGTACAGTAAGTTATTTTACCGTTCAAAACTAATGTGTATCTTCATCTTCAGGTCAAGGCTATGACAATATGCATTTACATAATCATAATCACAACATACTGTTTGCCAAAATGAAAGCATGTTTGTGTTTGTAGCAAGTCTTGGGAGGATGATATCAGAGAATGGACTTGCTCGACACCAAGTAAAACATTAAGAAACCAATACTGAGAGAAAACTGCTTTAAAATCCAAATCTTCTATGGTACCTCAACAGTCAAATAACTTACATGTAGTCTAAGATTATCATAAAAGTTCATCTGTGTTGGTAGTTATCATAATTATATAGTAAAATGTATAAATTAAACTTAATTCCAACATGAGGGTTACACAGCGATCAAATTTTCCAACGTACTGTCGCCTTCATCAGGATAATTAATGATCAATAACTTCTGAACGTAAACTCGCGAGAGTTACAGACACTGGTCTTATTCACACGAGACTTTATGGATACGTGACATCAGCAATCGATCAAACGTACCAGGGGTTTTGAGGGACTAACACTAGTCTAAGGTATACATGAGATATTGCAAAGCTCCCTGAGTCATTTGTTTATTTTATGTGTTCCCAGGAAGGGTCTATCGTGTGTAGACGTGAGGCATGTCAGGTGCGGTGTGATAACCCAGTCCAGCGGCCAGGCCAGTGCTGTGCCTCGTGTGACAGGTGTATGTACCAGGGGGTGGAGTACAGGAATGGAGCGCAGGTGGACAAACAGGACCCATGCCAACGCTGTTTCTGTCAGGTATTGGTCTGGTTTAATTGTAAAACTCTTTGCAGATATGCAGCTGAAATAAAATTTTCATTACAATTGTTTGTATCTCTTAACAATATAATGGTATTCATCTCATAAAGTAATTGGTGCAAACCTAACATAGTTCAACTTAGCTCAATGTCTCCTGTGATAAGCAAAAACATAGCCCCAATATAAATCTGTTATCAACAAAAATATCTTCAAGTTGATACTCATGGTTTCTCATTTCCAGAATGGAGATATTGTTTGCCAGACAGTAATATGTGCCCCAACACCATGTGCCAATCCCATAGTGCCTCCTGGGGAATGCTGTCCTGTATGTGAAGGTCAGTAAATCGTCATATTTCACGCAAAACTTTCCAATATTCTTTGAAATTCATTATGTTTTTTTAATTGGATTTTATAACCCATTACCATCTGCTAAGGCTGCCTGCAGGAAGGCAAAATGAAGAAAGACTAATAGCAGCCACATGTACAAAGCTGCTGAACACAGTTCATGGTCATTTTATTACTTGTCATTGCTCCTGCTTTCTGCACAGAATGCACCTATGATGGACAGACCTACCCCTCTGAAGAAACCTTCATCGCTCCTCGCAACCCTTGTCTACGGTGCACATGCAGGGTAAGTCAGTGATTTAGTTATATCTATTATGAACAAATCATCAAGAAAGATTTCAATAAAGTTACAAAAGCTTGCTTGATACAATCTTTGTTTCAGATTTTCTGTTTGTGTTGAATCTAACATGTAAGTTATGTGTGTCAGACTCTGTAAAATCTTAACACACGAATATGTATATTACTGGAAAATAGTACACCTTCAGTTGCTAACAGTAACTGATTACCTTCTCCCTGCTGCCTTACCCCATAACCAATAAGTCTTTGATGTCAAATGGCTACCTTCACAGACTACACATGTACATGTTGATCTCTGTTGTTTGTATAGCGAGGTGAGCTGGATTGTGAGCGGCTGGACCTGGAGTGCCGGCCCCAGTGTACCAGTCCTGGTCGCCTGCCTGAAGTCTGCTGTCCTGTCTGTGACAGTAAGTTTCTTTGTTTTACCAATTAAATTTCTTTACTACTAATATATACTTTGATATACCTGCCAGTTCAAATTTAGATGTCTATTGATACATTGGTGCAATGCTTATTGGTACAATGTACAATGTGTGTTAGTCAGCTCTGTGTCCTCAAAGTGTTGTTTTTTCCTTGTCTTCCACAGTTTGTGAATATGAGAGGAGAAACTACAGAAATGGTGCCAGGTTCAGACCACCTGGAGCTGATGTCTGCACAGAGTGTAGCTGTCTGGTGAGAAGTCCTACCAACATGTCACTATCAATATTTTACAGATATTTATTCATGTACATCCGTGTACTGGGGGTTTTGCAACAACTACATGTACGGATTTAGAGCAATTAAAACTCAAAACTTTTTGGTACTGTTGAATGAAGGGTTTTCAATATGGTAGCACCTATTACTACAGTTGTCTTTTTCCTTAATGAATTTCCTAAATAGAATTCATAGCTAGAACATAAATTCTTCTCTGTAAGTAAAAAAAAAACAGTGCTTGAGACAAAGGTGACTTACCGGGAGTCTTTTTTTCTTAACAACCCTTGTGAATTAGTTATCATTAAGCACTTAGGATTTGTATTTCAGTTGAAAGTTGCTATAAAAATGATTTTATTTTCAGAATGGCAATGTGCGCTGCAGTGTGATTGAATGTTCACCTGTGAACTGTGCCAACCCCACCACTAAACCTGATGAATGCTGCCCATCCTGCCAATGTAAGAACTACCTAGTACAGTCTAGTGTATAGTGTACAAATTCTAGCATTAACACTACAAGACCTGGTCCATTTTTGCAGGGTATCTGTATAGACAGTATAACTGCCCTTAGGCATAACACACCAGCTTCGCAGGCACGCAGCTACATTACACCGAACAACTTGTTACACCTAACCCTTGAACATCTAACTCTAAGCATTGTTTAAAGCTATCTAGATAGAGAAAGCAGAATAGCCATTCTGTTTCAAAATTTCAAATGACAGAGAAGACTAGATCAATTCTTTTAATAAAGATAATCTGCATGATTTGTGTAATAATTAATTTGATTTATGGAAATTGTTAGTCTTTGGACTGATATTAGATGTTGTTGTTGTTGTTGTTGTTGCAGCTTGTTTTGTAAATGGCCGGGAGTATCCAGAAGGCCAGGCTTTCCGTTCACCCAATGATCCGTGTTCTGACTGTGTCTGTACGGTAAGTCTTTCCAACAGTCGAACTACTTCAATTTTCACGTACTCTGAATTCTATTTCTGGAATGCAAGAAAGCCAACATGCAAGGGGATGCTATGTACAAAGTAACATGCCATCATGATATGTGTATTTGCTATTCATTCAGCAAGCTTACAGGAGCATGTACTAGAAGGTAAGGAATAGAACTGAAGGGCAACAACAGATAAAGAATTAAAGTTTTGTTCCTTTTGTTAGGGATTCCATTAGCAGTATAATTCAAAGACTACTAGTAGATACTACTGCTACTATAACTACATGCACCTTCAAGATACATCGTACATGTACAGTGTAGCTCTGTAAGTGTTTCATATGCCTAGTAATGCCACGCAGTCAATGGACATTATGTAACATAAAACATTTGGAAGGCAGTTATTCTTGGTGTATCAGGTATGAGCCATAGTTCTTGTTTCATCCCTAGGCTGGCCGAACCCAATGCCAGAAGAGGTCCTGTAATGACGTTGTCCAGTGCACTCATCCTGTGACAGAGGCTGGTCAGTGTTGTCCAGTCTGTGGAGACTGTCTGTTTGACCAGAGGAGGATCACAAACGGCCAGAGGTTCCAAAACCCGTCCAACCCCTGCCAAACATGCTACTGTGAGGTAAAAAAAAATCCTACTATGTCGTCAGGCCTATGAAAAAAATGTTGTTTCCTGTTTCAGTCCTGAAAAAAATTAGGGTCGGTAGGTAGGGATTATCTTTTTTCTTCCTTTTTTTTATTAGACAATCTGTAGTGATCCAACTTGTGGTCCAACTTGTACAATACAGTATTAAAAAGTAAAACTTGAATGAGGGCACTTATATTTTCAATGTCAGTGTTGGAAAACCGATTGTGCAATGTTTCATCACTCAGGTGTCAGATCATGGAGCTAGAAAAGGCTGATCAGCTTGAAAAATTTCTGTCCCTTGCAGGGGTCCAGCCCAAAAAAGGGGGCTAGGGTCAGCAGTTTCTTCTGGGGTCGGTCGTGAAACAGGAAACACAACATTTTTTCCCTAGGCCTCATAAAATGTGTAAAATGATCTCTTTCATACTTTTCAATGATATCAATGTCCCATAAAAGTAGATAGCCACTACAGTTGAAAGAAAGTATGACAAAGGCTGCAATGAATTTTTCAGACTTTTGAACATGTTATTCTGATCTTTACCCTACAGAGTGGTAATGTACGATGTGACACAACCTACTGCCAGCCTCCCAACTGTTTCAACCCAGTCAGGAAGGATGGACAGTGCTGCCCAGAGTGTCCTGGTAAGAACATTCACTCTGATCTTGCACTTAAGGGTTTTGTCTTTATTTGAAATGATGGCAGTTTTTAAAGTGATGGCAATACAAGTTTCAGCACCAAGGACAGGACCAAAAAGTAACTTACCCAAAAATATAGGTGAAAGAACTTTTCCAAAATTGTTTTTAGTGTGAAAAGATTTCTTTGTAGTCTTTTTTACTCCCTCACCCTGATGCCTAACTCCATAAGCAATAGAGAATTGTTGGTCAAATGACTATTAATGTGTGCTTAAGGTGAAGGGAAGCATAAAAAAGTTGTCCTTTTTTTAAGAAATCTGAAAGTCATGAGCAAATGGTCTCAAACCCCATCATATCTTTTTATAAGTGTGGGATTTGAAATTTGTTCTAACACATAAAAATAGGAACTCTCACCACTTTTGATTCAGTCCTGATGTCACCACACTTTCAACATCCAGAGTTTGAAAATTTATGCTTAATTCCTTTTTTGTGTTGGAACAAAGTTTAAACTCTACAACTATGGATTCTCCCAACACAGGTGAGCTTTTATTTGACTATCATATTTTGTAACTTTTTCTAGAGGAGCCATGTCTGTTCGAGAACCAGAACTACAACCATGGTCAGCAGTTCACCCACCCCAGTCAGCCCTGTACCCTGTGTGCCTGTAACAATGGAGAGGTGACCTGTCAGCCCCAGCCCTGTCCTTCTGTACCATGCAGGCAGCCTGTGGTGGAGAGGTGCTGTGGTACATGCACCGGTGAGTACATGTACATGCATAAGTGGGGTATATATATAGAATACAACACGGGGTATTCTGTACCGCCCGAGTTATCGTCGTCCACGTATCGGGTCAGCCGAAGGCTGGAGGGCCAGGACTGAGGGTAATACGGATCACATCGTGTGGCATTTTATTAATGTCATACCCACCCAATAAAACCTGCCTTTCAATGCAAGATGAGCCAAAATTTGGTGTCCTTAACCCAGAAAATGCAACATCAGTTCCAACGTCCGAATCCTGTATTCAAATTTTTGAAAGTGGCGCACGCAGTTAGGGCGAAACACGTTCAAATTGTTCTATATAAGCCATGGAAACCCGGGCCTAGCCATAAAGTATGGCCCAAACCAGAACACCGTTATCAGACGTTATCATGGCCCGGGTATGATATAAATATATCTATATCATACCTGGGCCACGACAACATTCAATATGGGTGTTCCGGTCTGAGTGAAAACTAGCGGTACAGCCCAGGGTTCTATTTGGTTATCACACGGGCTTCCAAATGTTCCATAGAATAATTCGAACATAATTCGAAATTGATAAGTTGAAAGTCCAAGAGCTAGCTTTAATGTAAAGAATCATGTATTTGTCCACAGGTTGTACGTACCAGGGTGAGGAGTACAGGAATGGTGCAGAGTTTGCACACCCTACAGACAGATGCAGGGTCTGCTCTTGCAGGGTGAGTTGGTCCATCTCTCTTTTCCTTTCTCTTTATCACTTAAACATACCAGCAAACCTGTATAGATCCTACAGTATGACACCTGTATAATGGTTTGTGAAGCAGCAAAACAGGAAAATGTCTTAGTGAGTGATGTAGTGTCTTGTGACTGGAGGTGGTTGGCTGGTCAGGTTTGATTCACAGATTTACTAGAGTAGCCAACTTCCTTTCTGATTTCAAAGTGACCACATTCAGTATAATGCAAGTACTGTATGTCTTTTGAACAGAATGGAAATGTAATGTGTATCCGACGGCCCTGCCCCCCACTGGAGTGCCCTAACCCTGTCAGAGTTCCTGGGAAGTGCTGCCCTGAATGTCCAGGTAAATAAATATTGTTTGATGTAAAACCACACCATTGTCTGCATATTTCCTATAAATGGATGGCTGAAGACTTTTATAACACTGATATTCAGCACCAAGGACATGACCATACTTTTGGGACTGTCTAATAAGGCAAAGAGAGGCAAGGATCTCTTCAACTATTTGAAACCAAAATGTACAGAAGAGAAATCACTATCAAACCTTCCCTCTCAACTTCAAGTTGAACCTAATTTTTTTCAAACTGCAGTTTTGAGGAATTTTCCTATTACTTTTTGGACATTTTGATATTGCCAGGTGTAACTATGTTTGAGGTAGCCCTGCACCTATGGAGTTTTAATTTCTTTATTTCTTCTAATAAATGGATGGCTGAAAATTTTATAACACTGGCTTTCAGCACCAAGGACATGACTCATATCACCATATTTTCTCTTCACGCAAAGTTTTTTGTCAATCAATGCTGCTTTGTTCAATGATTAGGTTCACTTTACATGTACATCTTACTGCTAATAACACACTCCTCTGTCCCTAACAGATATACGTCAGCCCTGCACCTATGGTGGGGACACGTTTGAAGACGGCGAGCGTTTCACCAACCCCGGTGACTTGTGTCAGGACTGTGTGTGCCGGCGAGGTCAGGTGACGTGTAACCGCATGCCCTGCCCCTCCGTCACATGTCCCTACCCTGTCAGGGGAGACTGCTGCCCCAGCTGCAATGGTAGGTCACATCATTATGTGGCTTCGAGTCCAGTCTTAGTAGCATTAGTTTAGTTAATGTCACTAAGGTGACCAATTATTTGAGTCACACACGAATCATCATCACTCTCAAGCAAGCTTGCAAGCTTTTTATGTTTACCGAAGGAAAACATATTGTTTTTGCTCAGTTGCTCAGTATGGTCAATGACCTGGGCCAGACGTCTGTCACCATGGTAACTAGTGTTGGGTTACATCATGTTGCAATTTTATAGCAGGAGGGATTTAGACTCCTGTCACCATATATATGATTGTGTTTGAGTAAGAATTAACAGACCATATGCATTGCAAATGTTACCTTTCTACTTTAAAACCATTTCTAGTTAGCTCTGGTTTAGGAGGTTTTGTTTTCAATGTGTTAGTCTATTTGTTTGCTTCTGTATATGGCTGAAATGTTAGGTCTCATTGCTATGTGTCCATTGGTATGAATTACTTTATGGAGACATAAAATCTTTGGTATTCTTGTTTTCTTTGTTTCCTGGTCTTTAAGGAAATAATAACTGCCAAGTTTAATCAACGGATGGCTGAAGATTTTATAACACTGGTTTTCAGCACCAAGGACATGATCTATACAAACATACCTGCCACAATGTGTTATGCCTTTGTTTCAAGATAGAAAAATGTAAGACAAGGCTGGGCAAATGATTTTGTTTTCCTTTTGCCAGGTTGTTTCTACAGCAGTCGTGGGTACACCAATGGCCAGGAGTTCACTGATCCTGTGGACAAGTGCAGCAACTGTATCTGTCAGGTGGGTGGGAAGCAGTAAGAGATGACCAAAGGTTTATCAGGTTACTGTGTTTAAAAAGGAGATAAGCTTTTGAGAGGCTCATTTGTTTTAACTAGAAGTACAAAAACAAATTTTTCTTATTAGTCTACAATTTTTACTGGCCAGGTTTTGTTTGACATTCAAAAGGTGTACTTAAAAAAATTATGTAGAATGAATGTGTCCAGATTTGACCAGCAATTAACACCAGGATATTTTTGGCTACATAGCCAATTGGAACTAGAAATTTAACTACATGTATGTTTGACTGGTTGTTCTACCTTTTAATGTGTCCCACAGAATGGTTATGTCCAGTGTGCCCCTGTGGCCTGCCCTCCCTCCAGCTGCCCCTACCCAGAGAAGAACGATGACCAGTGCTGCCCTGTCTGCAGAGGTCTGCACTTTTTTTTTCTTTCTCTTTTTTTATCAAACAATATGAATAAGCATAGGACACAGCGATGACAAACTAATTTGCTGGATTAGAAATATCCTAGGCTATGAAACTGAATGAAACTCATTTTGTTTCCAGGTTGTGAATATGACGATCGTCTGTACACCAGTGGGCAGACCTTTGTTGACTCCAGGGACTCATGTAGAGAGTGTACATGTGTGGTGAGTCCTTTGTCTATTATTAACAGTAAAATTGTGCCTCCTTTTCTTTTAATTTGCTAAAATCACTGGCATGATAGATTTAACTATACAATGTAGTTTTTTTTCCTCCCTATTGTCGTGAGGACTTTCGTATTTTTAAACATACCAGTGTTTTTTGTCTTCATTGTCGTAATTGTTTGGATTTTTCCATGGTTAGAGTGGGGATGTGAGATGTGTGAAGAAGACCTGTCCTCCACCGTTCTGTACCCATCCTTCCTCAGAAGGCGACTGTGGCTGCCCATCATGTGAAGGTAAGGAGGATGTAGCCCATTACACCTTTCATATTCAAACAGAGACAGGGTTCACCCTAGGCCTGGTATGCAAGGGCTCAAAACAACCTGTACTTTGTGTAGTTTGAATGTACTGTATCTGTTCTGTATAAAGTCTAAGTACATCCAGTGTATTATGACACATGTACAATGTATATCAGCGGCAAGTTCAGTTTCAGCTCTTTGTGATCCTTGTATCTCAGATACATGTTGTACATGTATGGGTTTTTTCTTTCCTAACCTCCTAGCCTGTATGTATGGAGGAGTCCGTTACGCCAACAGACAAGAGTTCCCAGACCCCTCTGATCCTTGCAGAGACTGTATGTGCAGTGTAAGTCAATTTCCGATTTGCATAAAATAATTAGTGCCTTTCAATTGCTTTGCTTGAGTCTTTCAACCTGAAGAAGTTATTCTGTATCTGTACACTATTAGCCGGTATAACACACTGGCATAACACACCAGCTATATATAATTATACATTATCATATAGCTGGGCGATGTCGACCAATGAGAAGCCTCCATTTCCTATCCGTTATCAGGCCGTAACATCATAAGTGGTGAATAATGAAAAAAAGTGGTCAGTTATTAGAATAACTACGCACACTCAGTGGTTTATTCTGTGGTTAAGGAGTCACCCTATACACCTCGGGGAAGGGCATTAACCCTTTATTATTTCATCTATTGTCAGGCTGGAAATGTAAACTGCCAGCAGAGGTACTGCCCCAACCCCGGCTGTACCCACCCTGCCCAGGGAGAGTGCTGTCCCAAGTGTGGGGACTGTCAGTACCAGGGACAGCAGTACAGCAACAGGGAAACCTTCCCAGACCCAAGAAACCCCTGTCAGCAGTGTACTTGTACTGTAAGTTGAAAACATATTAAGACACAACTTTTGTTTCTTAGTCTTAGTCTTTTCTTAGCAACAGGTTGCTTGAACACTGATTTCATTTCTGTGATTGACATTTAATTTCACCTCATTTTCTAACATATTATTTGTAAGTTGGTGTCTTGAATCTTAAGTTGTTTTTTTCATCCAGAAACAACCCATCTGACTTTTCATTAATAAGTAGACACTTGTATCATGATGAATGACTCTAATTATTCTTTTAATTAAATTTTCTTCTCGAAGGCTGGTAATGTGGTGTGCATGCAGAGGATGTGCCCCCCTCCCACCTGTACCCATCCTGAGGAGGGTCTTTGTGGCTGTATGGAATGTAACGGTAAGCGAGCATGTGTGAAAGTTGGTCAAAAACTTTAAAGTTAAAACATTACCCAGTCAAACCACTGGGTGAAATTAAAGTTAAACCTTTGGCTTAGTGTTGATGTCATATTTCAGAGAAGCCAATATGTGACAAGTCTAACTGGGTCAGTCTATTAAAAAAGACTAGAGTGACTGGTCAAAGGCTCTGAGAACAATTCCTTATGTTGGAACAAAGGTTTTAACTTTAGACAGTGTAATAATGTTGATATTTGTGGGGAAATAGCATGACATTGTGTAGAAATAGTTTCTTAACTTAACATAATATGTCAATCAATTTACAGTGAAAACAATGTGTAAGTTCAAGATGATGTTTTAATTCCTGGAGTATGTATTGTTTATTTTTAGGCTGCCAGTACCAAGGAGTGACGTACCTGAGTGGAGCGTCCTTTAAGCACCCGCGGGACCCGTGTCAGACCTGTCGCTGTGCCCTCGGGTCCGTCACCTGTCAGAAAACCATCTGTCGTCCGGCCGCCTGCCCCAACCCCATGGACGGACAGTGCTGCCCGGAGTGTGATGGTAAAAACAATGGACTAAGTGTAAATCTTAAGTGTAAATCTAGCTTTTTGTCACCAAATTTGCAGTTACATTGTATCATGATGTTTACCGAAGGAAAACATGTTGTTTTTGCTCAGTTTCTTCTTCCATTCCAAACACATGAGGTCAATATTACAGTTGCAGACATCTGTTACCATAGGAACTGGTGTTGGGTTACATCATGTTGCAAGTCTATAGCAGGAGGGATTTAGACTCCTGTCACCATAGATATAATTAGAAAAAATTAAAAGAACAGACCACGTGTGAAGGCAACATTATGCATTTCCTTTGCAAATGTTACCTTTCTAGCCTAAAATATATTTTTATCCCTTGCTGTCTTTTCCTCCACTGCAGGATGTAAGTACAGTGGGAAGAACTATGCTAATGGAGCCAGCTTCGAGGATCCAAATAATGAGTGCAACACCTGTAACTGTCTGGTGAGTAGGAAAAAAAGTGACACTTGAAAAGAGACTATCAAATGTAAAACAAAAATGTTTGTGTTGTGTTATTTATTCAGAAGTAAAACTCTAAGTAAAAAAGTCATTTGGTGGAAAGATATTTGATGTTCATAAAAGATGTACTGTACATTTGTTAAAACATGATGATTGTGCATGTACGTATTTACACTTAATAAACATGTACATCTACATTTCTTTAATTTAACAGAATGGCCAGGTGAACTGTAACAGGAAGCAGTGTGTGAAGCAGTGTGATCACCCCGTGGGCATTGATGGGTGCTGTCCTAGGTGTGAAGGTAGGGCAACTCTTCAATAACTTTAGCTTTACTCTTTCCCATTATCCAATTGTTGTTATTTCTATGTTTCTGTGAAGCTCTATCACATTATCTATTTTTTGATAGTATAAATACCTATTGTTTTGCTGTGATTAGGCTGCCGGTATGAGCAGACCAACTACAGGAACGGAGAGACGTTCAGCCCAGTAGGAGACCCATGTGAGGAGTGTATCTGTACAGACGGGACGGTGAACTGTGGGAGAACCATCTGTCCTCGGGCCGCCTGTCCCAACCCCATCACTCAACCTGGACAGTGCTGCCCTCAATGCCAAGGTAACAGTGGTCATTTGTTGTAACAGTTCTGAAACAACAGGAGCTATTTGACTAATTTGCATCATCCTTGTCTTCACTTATCTAACTTTTGTTTCCTTTTGGACTTGAAAAATTTGTCTTCACTTACTTGCATATAAATCAATAGTTTGTGCTTATAAACCTGCCTTTCTGACAAGTCTCCAGTGTCACTGACGAAAGGTATGTTACCTTAAATGTCTGACCGCTTCCAAAATCACATCCGGTTGCCTAGTAACTATATTTTGACAAACATTGTATCTTATTACATGGATGTCTAACCTTCACCAACGTAACAGTAATCATATTGCCCGAGATAAAGTAGTAAAGTAAAAGGCTTAGTCCTAGATGTTCAGTCAAATTCGCCCAAGAAGATAACTCGGTATACTGATAGAATCTGCTTCATATTTTCTTTCTATCCTCTAGAATGCATACACAGTGGACAGAGGTACTATGATGGACAAACCTTTGTCAACTCCCTGGACCCATGTGAGGAGTGCAGATGTGTGGTGAGTGTTCTGGCTATGTCTGTGTCATATAAGAAATTATGATTTTGATATATAACTTTCAAAGTGTTGTAGGAAGATGTAGAGTGTTGTAGGGAGCCGTGCACACTGCTGGCACTACTGTCGTGGCTCTGGTCTATAAACAGGAAGGCTGTAATGACTGGTTTACTATGCACTGGAGTGCAATGCTTCATAAATAAAGATAAAAGAAAAGATTATAATTAAAAGAACTTTAATATTCAATCATTTACAAGCCTTATGAAATTATATACATGTATGAATGGAATCTTATGTTTATTCCATGCAGGGTACCACAGTGATGTGTAGTCGGCCAGCCCAGTGTGCCTCCTGCTCCCACCCTGTCTCCATCCCGGGTCAGTGCTGCCCCTCCTGTCAGCAGTGCTCGTTTGAAGGTCAAGTCTACACCAACGGCCAGGCCTTCAACCCTGACGCATGCAGGGAGTGCAGCTGTGCTGTAAGGGTCACTCTTGAGTCACTCATTTCTGATGAGAATTTAGGTTATGAGAAATTTCCAAACGGCTTCATGCAATCTTGGAATAGATAGCCTTGTGCTACTTGTGTAATACTACCCGGTATGCGTTACAGTACTACATGTAGGTACATTTTGTAATTTATAGATTGTGTACCTATGAAACAACTTTGAACTGTAATTGCCAACACAGGAAATTGGACTCACCCTTCTCCCAAGTTCTTGTGTTGGCAATTACAGTTCAAACTTAATATTTCATAATGACTTCTACCAACACAGATGAACTTTCAATGTAATGTGTACATTTCAATTGAGCATAACTGACTTGTCGTCAGAGTCCTTAGTAAAAATATGTCTCTTGGAGGTGTTTCAAAGTCTGTTGCTTCATTTTAGAAAAGTTGGCATGGACATGACCCCTTTTTTTAGCACTATGTGTTTATTTTGTGTGTTTGTTTCAGAACGGGAATGTCCAGTGTATCTCCCAGTCCTGTCCTCCACTGAGCTGTCCACCTAACCAGCAAGTACTGGAGCCGGGAGCCTGCTGTAAGAAGTGTCTAGGTCAGTGATGTTCAGCTATCATCATTCAAGTCATATTAGTCATAGAGTAGAGCAAAGGCAACCCACTTGTCAAAAAGGGAGAATCTAGCAAGAACATGTAAAGCGTTATGCATTTAATAATTTGTTTCTCCTTGATGTACATTCAAGTAGCATGATATGTTAGATTTAGAGTCAGACTTAGGGACACCCGCGTGTTCCAACACATGATGCAGTCAGAGCATTCCAGCAAGTTTGGTGGGATACCATTCTCTCTACATCCTTCCAGGATATATTAGAATTGAAGTGAATCTTATTATAGTCTAAACATGTATACTGTATGTAGAAAATAATGTGCAAAAATTATAGCAATCAGACATCGTCCTTGCCTCCTTAGTTATACTCCTCTCTTTGCTCACTCCCTACCACTTCCCACCCAGGCTGTTTCCATGACGGGCAGCAGTACCAGGATGGCCACAGCTGGGTAGATCCCATCAACCCCTGCATGTCCTGTCAGTGTCGTCAGGGCATCACCACCTGCGCAGAGATCCGCTGTATCACACCCTGCGCCAACACCATGAGTGTCCCTGGACAGTGCTGTCCTGTCTGCAGCGGTGAGAATTAACTTGAAATTTCATTTTTACCTCCATGAAATGTCATGGAGGTTATATTTCATTCATACATCAGTCTGTTGGTCAACAAGAAATTTCAAGAACAGCTGGATGGATTGGTTTCATACATTGTACTTAGTTTGTTGGTAGGGTGTGACGAAAACTGGAAATGATGATATTTTAAGCCCCCTAGTGGCTTTCCTTGGTACTGCAGGGGAACTGACAGTTTTTATATATCTCGTGATCTGGACATGCTAGGGTCATGAATTTTGGATGGTAACGTTACATGTAGGTAGCTCTTGTGCTCAGGAAGAAGTCATGTGAGTTAGGGCCCACTAGAACTAGCGGTTTACAACACTGCAATAGCTACATGTACATGTAGAAGTCCTGATGGTGGAAAGAAGATGCTGGTGTACTCTTGTTTTAAATGACTGGAGGTTGTTGTCAGTGATCAGGCTGACCACGTTGTCTGAGAGACTGTTCCAGATGTGTACTGCAGTATGTATGACTATGAAAGTTACTTTATTTCCTTCCCCAGGCTGCATGTACAACAATAGAACGTACCATGAGGGAGAGACCTTCAACCCTAACGGAGACCCGTGTGACCAGTGTACCTGTGAGAATGGCAACATGCGCTGTCTGCGCTACAGCTGTGAGACCCTGGACACATGTCCACCCTCCCTCATTAGGGACCCCAGGCCGGGGGAGTGCTGCCCCGTGTGTCTCGGGGAAGGTAGGGCTTGTTTTTACCTTTAAAAAAAGTTGTTTTCGGTGGCATTTGTGTGTGTGTGTGTGTGTGTGTGTGTGTGTGTGTGTGTGTGAGAGTCTGCCTGAAAACACAATAAATTGAGAAGGCTTTGATGGATAGTCTTGACATTTAGTAGATGCATAGGTCTTTGAGACCTCAAAATTATCAGATTTTGGGCCCCCTACATGTAGCAGCTTTGAATGGTACTGCGGGGGAACTTCCAATGTTCATATCTACTGATGATCTGGATATGCCAGGATCACAAATTACACTTATATGGTAGCAGACATATTTTGTAGAATGTTATATTTGGTAGTAATACTAGTATAATCATTTATGTTATTTCGATACCATTCTCAGGTGGCCTGCTCCCTCTGATGAATTGTACAGCTGACACAGTGGGTAACAATATGAGGCTATATGAGGACCCATGTTACAAGTGTATGTGTGAGGTAAGTACATTCTGTTGGAATAGGTCAGTTTTATGCCTACCCTTATAATTGGCACCAGTGTTTATGGCAAAAATTCTGTTCTACAAGTTTTTATGCCCTTTTACACTTTTGACAGGAGGCAAATGCGCTGGTGTGTGTGCGTGAGGTGTGCCCTAACCTGAACTGCCCTCTAGGAGAGCAGTACACCAGCCAAGGGGAATGCTGTCCTGGCTGTGACAGTAAGTAGTTTAATCTTACCCTTATCTTTTAAGGATCTCAAATCAAAGCAAGAATAGGGTAGGTTGTTTTCTGCATAGTGTTGCGTACATGTACATGTAGTCCAGTGATTAGCAACCCTGCCACTCGACCAAGAGGTTGCGGGTTTGAGACATGACTGTTGTCACTCACCCGACATGCACGCTACTGTTACAGTCCATATGGCAGGATAAGCTGTTCATTTTGCTTGTGGAAAGGACCTAGGAAATGGGTGAATCCTGTAAAATTTGTCTTTGTATCCTTCAATTTTTACACATTTTTTCAATATTCAATTGTACTTGTTATACATGACAAACCTCCATTCCTTTCAGGATGCTTCATCGGACCGACCAATCAGATTGTTCTAGACGGAGAGTCGTACACAGACCCTAACGAGCCGTGCGTGACCTGCACCTGTAACCGCGGGGTGGTGACCTGTAAGGTGGAGGAGTGTCTGCCTCTCACCTGTATGGACGGCCTGATGAACTTCCAACCTCCGGACAGGTGCTGTGAGGAGTGCAGAGGTGGGGTTTGTATTATGTGAACTTAAAAGTGAAGTTAAAGATCTCCCGCATCAAGTGTTAGAGCCTTCCCGCCTCAAGTGACGTATCTCTGTCCACACAGCAGTGCAATCACTACAGCAGGGGGCTAGTCCACTGGTAGTGGTGTGTGTGCTGAACTCTCATACTCTTTCCCTCAAATGCTGCCTGCTAAGCAGAGAAAGCTGTATGTACCATTTTTAAAGTCTTTGGTATGACCGGGGATCGAACTCACAACCTACCAAATGCAAGGCGAGCACTCTACCCACTTGGCCATTGCACCGGTCATGTCTATCAATTAGATTTGCCAATTTGGAAGCTGCACAAATTTTACATTTTTCATTTAAAATGTAACCTGAACTGACTGGGGGGTCTATGCTGGGAACAGATCAACCTGGAGAGACCTGTGCATGTCTGGAGCCAGTTCCTGATGCCTGCAAATGATTGATTGATTGATTGATTGTTTGATTGATTGCCTGATTGATTGATTGATCAATTGATTGATCGATCTTTGATTTTGCTCCCATATCTCCAGATGAAGCCATGCCGTGTATGTACCTGGGTGAGGCAAAGTTGCCTGGTGAGGAGTGGTTGTTAGATGAGTGCACCATGTGCTCGTGTGTGGGAGGGGAGGTCATGTGTATGACAGAGAGATGCCCTCCCACACACTGTGAGTCTGACGAGACACCCACCCTCTCACCCGGCATGTGCTGTCCAAGATGTATGCCAAGTGAGTACAGATTTCCTTCAAACATAGCGATACCCAAACATAGAGATAATCCAAACGTACTACATAGCGTAGGTTTTATGAAACAAGGTTGAACTTTAAATTTTAAACACAAGAACTTGGACTTAGTAAAATTTTTGACTGTACAACTCCAGTCTTTGTCAAGGAATGAGCAATTTCGGTAAGACCAATACCTTGTGTTGGAAATTGCAGTTCATAGTGACTTCTACCAACACAGATGAACTTTTAAGATAAAACCTCTGGGTTTTGTCATTTTTGTCCTTCCCAAACACATGTTTCCTTTTGAATGCATGTACAATGTACGATCCTCAAGCTTTCAAAATAAACATTCACCACCATCTTTAAGCATAGTCCTATGTCTATCATATCACCTAGCTCATTGCCTAGAAGTGTTCATTTGGTTTTGAATTGAGCAACCCCATCAACAATAATAATGCCTTATTCAGAAAACCTTAGAACCTTCAAAACTAGCAAAAGCACAGCCCATAGCTTGACTCACACGTTTATTGATACTTTCTTACATCAGGACCTGCCACGTGCACCACATTTGGTGACCCACACTACCGCACGTTTGATGGGAAGATGATCCACTTCCAGGGCACCTGTGTGTACACTCTGACCGCAGACTGTGAGGGCGGGGACTTCGAGTAAGTGGAACAAAGACTCAACTTCATTGCTCCATACATTTAAGATTTTTATACTGTATTCTTAGATTAGATTAGATCAGATTAGTGAACATAAGCAACAATGTTGCAGAAGGATCTAAGGTAAGGTAGATTACACTGGTTTGTATTCATGAAAAATGCAAAAGAAACTGTCATATACAACAGTGTGGTGTTCATTTATATGTCTGTCCTTGGTGCTGAAAGCTGTGTGAATGCTTTCAACTGTGCTTGTAGTAATTTCATTACTTTAAATGTCTAGATTGAGTTTTTACTTTAGGTCACAAGTTTCTTTCAATTGTGACTGTGATTATCAGATAGCCTGGGTGCCATCCGATTTGTAACGGCAAACCCAAAAAAGGGGTTGCTGTTACAAATCGGATGGCACCCAGGCTAATTACCAGAGACTAGGTCACTGTGATCAAGATTGGAAATTTGGAGGTATGTGTTTTTACCTTTATAAAAACGTCACTGATTGGGGAAAATTCTACTAACTACAGTTCTTAAATGTTGGTATGTTCTTGTTGTTCCAGAGTGCTGGTACAGAATGATGACAGAGGTGCATTTGGTGCCGTCTCCTGGACACAGGAGTCCAAGATTAAACTGAAGGGTATAGAGGTGGAGCTTCTCCAGAAGTGGGTTGTCAAGGTAATGTCTATTTCACCTTATCATTTGCTGTGAATGACCTAGACACTGTATCATCAGTAAAATCAAACTTCTTGATATAATCAGCAGTAGCATATGGGAAGGGTAATTTTTTTACTGTTCTGCTGTGACCTTGACCTTTAGGTGAATGGATTAGAGGTCAACTTGCCCTACCTGAGGGATCCTGAGCTGTTTATAGAGAAGAGCGGGTCTACTATCCTGGTCAACACAGAGATTGGGCTGAAGGTAAATATACAACGTCAGATGTGTGAATTGTTTGCATTGTGAAATAAACTTTGCAAACATGTATATTCTTATGCATAAAATTGAGTTTGCTCAGTTCCTCAATACTTTTGATAATATAATGGGTAATGATATAGTACTGTGAACCAACACAGTGCAATCTGGTTATACAGAACTTAATTTGACACAACAAAAGTCACTCAAAAGTACAGCGACTTTTGTAAGGTCTTTAACTACATGTAGACAAAGTGTATATTGTATTATTCCAATGGTAAAAGTATGGTCAAATGTTAAAAAGATACAACCTTGTGATTCCAGGTTCTGTGGAATGGCCACAGCTACCTGGAAGTCAGTGTTCCGGGCACGTACAAGAGAAGAACCTGTGGGCTGTGTGGAAACTTCAACAACTTCCCTCAGGATGACATGCGCTTACGGAACGGACAGATCACAAACTCAGCTTCCGTATTTGGTAACAGTTGGAAGGTGGGGAAATATGTGTTTTTATGTTTACCTTTGCGGAAGGAAAACATATTGTTTTTGCTCAGTTTCCTCTTCTCCAATCACATAAGGTTAATGACCTAGACCAGACATCTGTCACCATGGTTACTAGTGCTGTAGCAGAGCCCCTTTGATGTTGAGTTACAACACGTAGCAGAACAGAGTTGGAGAACCTGTCACCATACATATGAATGTATTTGGCTTTCAGTAAGACTAAACAACTCAGTAGTTTGTTGGGCTAGACTATGTGCAAGCTAACTTTCTACTTTATTCTTAATTTTTGTGTGTTTATTCATTAAACTTTCAAATCAGACTGTTGCTTTTCATTGAGGTCACATAGAAAAAGGAAAGGGTGAGAGAAAATGTAATTATATACACAATTGTGTAGTGTTGTGGGTTGCTTAACATGCTCAAGTATATCAGTTATTTTGTTTAAATTAACATAATTAAATAATATTATTTCTATTCAGGTTGACACCCCTGGCAGCCCACCCTGTGAAGACTCAGAAGACTTGGACCCGTGTGTCAAGGCAGGCTACCGAGCTCGTAAGGAGGCTAACGCCAAATGTATGGTTCTCAAGTCAGACAAGTTCAGGCCTTGTCACAGGGTAAGTATCATCATTAATCCAGCATTCAGCACTTTCTTGTTGTAATTTGTTTTTGTATAAATGATTAAAAGAAAGATTTTATACAAGAAATTTGATTTTTGAATATGATAGTGCATAAAATAGGAAGATGCAATATCAAAACAAAATTGTCTGTACTTAATAATTTTACCTGTATGGGGCCGCCTGTATATGTCTAGTTTTGATGTAGGGTAAACATGCACCAAACACTAGAAAAAATATACCACCATTTACCTTCATCAGGTTAAAACTAATGGTTGTTGTTATATTATATGTCTGTAATTGTAACTCTTGTGAATTAACATACGGAAGTGAATGGTCATTAGTTGTCCTGATGAAGGCGACAGTGGTCGTCAAAAATTTGATCTCCCTTACTTGTTGTGTAGGAATAAAGTTCAACATTTTAATATGATTACTACCAATACACTTTGAATTTATACTTTTAAATTCATAATACTTTGAGTACAATATATATGAACAAATTGTACCCCACAGGTGATCAAACCGGAGATGTACTTTGCGTCGTGTGTGTATGACCTGTGTGCCTGCGGCTCTAATGACCAGTGTCTGTGTGATGCCCTGGGTGCTTACGCTGCAGAATGTTCAGCAGCAGGAGTGGTACTGAACTGGAGATCACCCTCCATGTGTGGTGAGTTGTTCCGCCTTTGCTTCTGTTTTAGTGAGCATGTCGGCAGAATGTACTGCGCCTGCGCAGAACCCTGAATTTTCGCGGTTTTCGTTGGATTTTTGGTCAACGTTGCATCAGAATTTTGCCTGTTGCAGACAATATTTTCACCAACATAACATTTGAAAAGTACTGGTGGGAATGCTAACCTTATATGAGCGAATACGACCTTATATGAGAAGTTCTGCCGAAGTGCTATGCACAATACATCACGGGTTTCGCGCAGGTGCAGTACGTTCTGCCGACGTGCTGTTTTAGTGCAGTCTCTGCCTATCACTTGACCACGTTTTTTTTTTCAACCTCCTTGGTTTAGTTCAGTCTCTGCGTAGCATAACTAGTGTTGTTTGGTTGGCTGGCTGGCTGGCTGGTTGAACGAAACATGAAAGCAAAATTGAAAAAAAATAACCATGACCTATGATGTGTCATTTCATATGTGTTTTTTTTTTCAAAAATATGGGGATTTTCTGTTACAAACATAAGTAAATATTATAGCTAAATATGTAAAAGGCTAGGAAAAGAGTTATACTTGCTCATGCTCAAGATTAAGTGTTGTAATTGTCAGATGATGATGATGCTGTAAAAATCTTGTCTGATGCCCCACAATAAAATTCATTTTGTGTGAAAAATTACAGTTGCTGTTTTCCCTATGATATCGTATTGTTGATTGTTTTATTTTCATTATGTAGATTTTGAAGTTATTTTGCACCCTGTTTTTATGTTCTTTTATCATTGTTATTTGCAATTAACCCTCGGGCAGGAGTTTGCAATAAACTTTATAATTGTTTTTTTTGTTTTTTTTTTACAGCCATTGGCTGTCCGTCAGAAAGAGGACTTATGTTTGATGAGTGTGGGCCGATATGCCCCAGAACATGTGCCAACAAACACACTGTATTAGGAGACGTCCCCACGCCATGTTTCAAACCCTGTGTCCCCAGTTGTCAATGTCCGGCGGGGCAGGTATTATGGGACAACCAATGTGTTACACCTGGACAGTGTCCTGATACCGGTTTATATAATATTTTTAGGTGATAGAATATATATTTTTCTTTAGGTAATAAGATATAATGAGATATGCAGGGATGTGGCAGTTTTTTTGGCTATTTAACCATTTATGTTATCTTGTCCACTCTGGATAAAAATGACTATTACTTGAAAAAGGCTATTTTTTCAATGAAACCACGTCCCTGGCCAAAGTTACAGATAGCATCCAATATTTGGACAAAATGTGAGAAAATTGAAAAAAAAAAACTTACGGTAAAAGTGTATTATGTGTTTAAGAATTATGACAATCTGAGATAGAGCACTTCAAAGACCATCCTTTAAGTCGGTTTGTTGACTTTATTTTATGATATGTTACTATGTCATAGTTAACATATCATGCTATATTTTAGAATCCATCGATTTAAGAGGTGCACGTTACCAAAGTAAGCCACATTTTGTATTTCATATCTCTCTCTCTCTTTTGTACATAGCTCATTCCAATATACAACATTCATGCCTAACATGATATGTTATGTACAGTTGATAATTGTTATTTCAATATTATCAATACTAATACGTAGAAACTTTTCAAAAGTATGATATATGTCTAGCCTTGATTTAGTAAGTTTTTTCTAAGCCTGGTCAAGTATCAATATTTCTGACACAAGCTGTGCTTGTGGCTGTATAAGCAGCTTGTTGAACAGAATGGTGTGTTTGTGTTTGCCTCCATATTCTTCCAAGTGGTTGCAGTTGAAATATCACACTTTCCAATGTTGAAGTGACAGTGTTACATGGAGTATAGCAATTGTCACCACTACCTCATCATCTTAGTCAGTCAAGAACACATGACTTCTTCTAGTACAGGTGAACTATCATGCTAATATATGTACCAACACAAGAAAGCCATATCTGTTTACTTGATACACAGTATCATTCCTCGACAAATGTACAGTCCTGTTTTGGTTTTAAGGTTGTTTTCGATACCAGTTTTTCATTTGGTGCTTTAAACTTAACATGTTTGGTGCTTTATCTTTTATATTCTTACTTTGGGTTATATACAGAGTCAAGAACAGTGACCATGGTATCCACTAAGGTAAGGTCAAATGTTACTATGCAAAGTTCCAGAACAGGGATTTGGTTTTTGTGAACACATAAGTTGATGTTAAGTTTATGCCAAAGTCCGCCATACTCAAGACTATGTTCATATTTGCTACACCAACTATTATATCTCTGATCTGAAAAGAATTACAGTTGTCAGTGTACTTTTGATAAACCAACCTTTGAAGTTGCCGGTCTCTCACGTTTTTAACTTGATAATGGACAGAGAAGTTATTGACTTCCATGCAAGCAGCACTACAAACTTAAGGTATTTCTCCTTTGATTAGAGATTTTCAAATGTCACCCCTATTTACATACGTCTGGTGTGAAGGAAGCCGTAGAGCCGATGTTGATATCAGCTCTATGACATGAAGAACACTCGTGTAATTTAGAATGCTCGATACCTTACCGCAAGTTAACATGTGTATGCACGTGTTACTTGCATTTACTTTGTTTCCTCACTTTGTGTACATGTGTATGTACCTTGTGTTGATTAGATTATATGGATGACATCCTCTGAGAACCCCAAAACTGATGTTAAGTGTGGGGATTTTATTTTAAGTTGCCCTCATTATATTATGACATCTATGTGGTCATGAAGGTTGAAGAAATGACTTAACATATACAGAGTATGGTATGATGAATAACTTTCATTCATTTATCTTCACATTTTCTTCTTTTCCTTTAGAATTGGTTTTGGCGACATTAGTATCATTTTGTTTTCGTATGCGGTATGTATTTGCTAATTTTTCATCTGCTTCATACGTTTTACAGTATGGTCGAAAGCTTTTTTCTTGGAAACGGATGAAAATTCATGCGCGCGCGGATGTCATCCATATAACAAGGTCTAAGCCAGAAAATCTCTGGGATCTTCATCATCGTCCAGAGCGTGTGTTAGATAAAACAAGTCAAATGTTGTGCCAAGTCTCACTATTTCATCCGAACGTTCATCGACATCAATGTCGCTTGACCCATCAACAAAGGGTTCCAACTTGACAAGTAACCCGTAGAGTGCTGTCCCTCCCCTTTCCTTTGTGGACCATTCCAACTCGTCATTACTGAAGAGAGGGTCAATAGTTTCACCCCTCCTCCTGGCACCCACCGTCTCCGGTCCGATCTCGTAGCTGTCCGGCCGGATACACAGCTGGAAGGCCACACGGGCCTTGTACATCTTACCGCCATCTTTGAACCTGTTCAAAGATGTGTGATACGTCAAATTTAAGTTTTTATGTAGCTGAAAGCATCCCAAGCTTAGCTTGGTCCTAGAGTTCGAAGTGCGGACCGCGCTTGAAGCTACACACTGCAAATATTGTCGGCATACAAGTATGTAGCAGTCAGCAAGTAATAAGTTATATATTTGTCCTTACTCTTTGGGAGTGGCATAGGCATCTAACCCAGCGTACACGATGCTTGGCGTTACGAACAGTTGAACGGTGTCGAACCCTTCGGGTTTCCTCGTAGGGGTAAAATGTCCATCCCTCTCTCTTATTTTGCGTCCACCCAAAGTCACGTCACCTATTACGTATGAAAATATACAACGATTTACAAAATGTAGGTTGAACAACGTATATCGAGTACATAACATCATTCCACATTGCAATATTGCTAATTGAACAGCTGCATAATTCTATGCTATCTTACTTGTGTTAGGGCATACTGATATTTCCGTTTGTATACGGATAACGATAACGTATACATGTATTTACCTGGCATGAGCAGTTGTGAGCTGTTCTGTAGAATTTTCTTCACCATATCAGGGTCTGTCCCGTGGTACGCACGGTGCCAGTTCTCGAACACGTTCAACTCGCTGTCCATAAAGTTTGGAGTTAAGCTGTAAAACAGGAGATAGGACACTCAATTGTATGCTGCTGCAGTTCATAGCGCTCAACATCACACTAAATGATGTCGTTAAGACTTGGTTCTCACCTGAGACCAAATCTGGCCCAACCAACAGGCATCGCGTATGTCTTCTCAGGTACACCCCGTGAATAACTGTCCTTGTCGCCCCGGGCCTTGTGACATGTCTCACAGTAACATTTGTCCTCAACGCCAAGGTTAAAATAGCTATCTGTAATAAAGAAAAGTTAGGATTTCAGCTCTACGTTATTAGACTTACATAGGCTAGCCTTCAATTAAAGTTTCAAAGGCAATTTGCTTCCTAGACAATGGCCGTTGATCGACCAAAGGTAGGATTCGTGCGACCATTTCATACATTGTAATTGAAATATGATTTAAAACACACAACGCACAGAAGTAACCACTCCTGAAGTTTAATCTGGCAAATGTTTGTTCTCCTCGGGTGACCGCCTCTAGTGAAAATAAGGGAGGGTCAAAAGTGATCTATGATAATAAAAGTACTTGCCGTCGATCCCCAAGGATTCCTTGAATCGCTTACAAGCCAACTGATAGTCACAGACCTGTAATTTGCGACAAAGGCACCAATATTAGTATAGTATACCTAGATATGGATAAGTTAGAATGGTGTAGATTACCTTCAAGACATGTAGATGGAAAATCTACAGATAAAAGCTGCTAAAGCAGGTTTGAAATAAAATCTTTGCTTATATTATGTATACCTTTTCTGCTGTCGTTGCGGGAATAGTTCTCGAGGCCCGTGCGACATCTTCACCGTCGCGATGCCTTCTCATACAAGATCGCTTACAAGCCAACTGATAGTCACAGACCTGTAATTTGCGACAAAGGCACCATTATTAGTATAGTATACCTAGATATGGATAAGTTAGAATGGTATAGATTACCTGCAAGACATGTTGTTGTTTCCTAACAGCCACAGATGGAAAAGCTACAGATAAAAGCTGCTAAAGCAGGTTTGAAATAAAGTCTTTGCTTATATTATGTATACCTTTGCTGCTGTCGTTGCGGGAATAGTTCTCGAGGCCCCTAGGTAATCGTCACCGTCGCGATGCCCTCTCGAGACCCCTGCGTCATCGTCACCGTCGCGATGCCTTCTCGAGGCCCCTGTGTCACCGTCGCGATGTCCACTCGAGGCCCCTGCGTCATCGTCACCGTCGCGATGCCCACTCGAGGCCCGTGCATCATCGTCACCGTCGCGATGCTTTCTCGAGGCCCCTGCATCATCGTCGCCGTCGCGATGCTTTCTCGAGGCCCGTGTATCATCAATGTCGCGATGCCTTCTTGAGGCCCGTGTATCATCAATGTCGCGATGCCTTCTTGAGGCCCGTGTATCATCAATGTCGCGATGCCTTCTTGAGGCCCGTGTATCATCAATGTCGCGATGCCTTCTTGATGAGGCCCGTGTATCATCAATGTCGTGATGCCTTCGATCTAAAATAATACAGCATTGAATCTTAGTTTACATTTTGTTCTAAATCATGGACCTTGCCCATGACTGAACGAAAAATTTACGAGAGACCTACGGTTCTCACAAAAAGCTACCTGCTGGCTTACCCGTACCCTTCAACTGAATTCGTAGACATTTTGCTTTGTCTGTGTATGAGCAAGTACATGTACACTATACTGATTGCCAAGCAGGCAACAATGGCAGTGTAACAATAGTAGAAAAAATCTTCCAAGCACATTTCATATCAAGAACATTGATTTTAATACGTGCCCGAAACTTAGTGGCTCAAATACTGCCATAGATTCCTTAAGTAAAGTACAATGAACTCAGTTTTGTGAATAAGGGTTAGCTATTTAGTATGTATCTGGTTTCTTGGTGGAAATAAAATGAAACTGATTATGATTTGAATTAAAAACATTAATCATCAACACCAGCAGTGCATATTGACCATGACAAAGCCTTCTGAAAGGAAATATAATCATTGCACATTCATACATAATAATAATTCTTTGTTTTCGAAATCATATATGTCTATATTAGATAATATAGAAAACTATATGAACGTACAAGGCGGTGTTCCGACGATCTCCCGTAGAGGGGACCCGAACAAATGAGTAGCTGGCCTGTAGGTCTGAAACAAATACAGACGTAATGCATCATAGAAACGTAGCTACCCATGGCACAGTTAGTATATACCATTCAACTTTGAATAGCCTTACAACTACTGCATCACATGCATTCCTTACAGTACTCGTACATACCGAACAACAGTGGCGGCAAAGCATCACAAGGATGCCAGTGATTCCCACCAAATCAGCCAACAGGAGAGACAAGAAGGGCTTCATGTACTGGTCAATGCCAGGTGCAGACACTAGGTGATTGTCGTAGTGGACGGTCAGGATCACAGCGGTACAGCAGATCCCGTATAGGTGGAGGAGGTCAGGCATTAGATGCAGTGCCGCTGACTTAGCACTTCCCCCTGAGACGAGATATGAAGGCACCGTTAGAAAGAACTGAATGGAAATCGACAAAACATATCAAGACTGTGTCTGCTACATGTACAGTCCAAATTTATAAAATCTATAGGAAGGTGTTTTTTTTTAATTCACGTGATACAAGGTATAGATGGTTGGATTATAAACTAGAGTTCGATGATCTCATACCTCCATGACATGTGTATTGTTTTCATAAATCTTACGCATGTTGATGACCACCTGTAATTGGCTTACATTTTTCACCGCATATATTCAAATCATATGAGGCCATTTGCATATATTGTATCAATTGATCATACTCTCCACCAAATGACAGGGTTATCTTAAGAAATAAGGCTATTCTAGCGTTTCCTCATAAATTATGCAAATGAGGTCCTGATTGACATAAATTATGTTTAGTGATGTTCACCTTCACTGAACTTCCAATTATGGCAAGTATTAAATTCCCAGCAGTTACCACAATAAAATTGTACCAATTTGCCATTTATTATGCAAATTAGGTCTTCCTTTACATAATCGATATCTGCCAATGATCTTGTCGTTCTCACTAACATATGTCTATAGAGTTTTATAGCCCTAATATGAAATACAGCTGATTTATAGAATTTCCTAATTAATTATGCAAATTAGATCCTGATTTGCATAATTATATTTTGATTATGTCAAGCATCACTTAAGCTACCTACATACCAAAAATCATGATGATCCATCAAACAGTTGTTCAGTTATCCTCTCTCGAAGATTTTCAAAGAAACCACCCTGCAGTTCCAGAACAAGCCGCTAGGGGGACCAAACTCACGTGACTTCTTCCCGAGGACAAGAGCTACCTTCCATCCAAATTTCATGACCCTAGCATGTCCAGATCGCGAGATATCAAAACCGGAAGTTGCGCTGCAGTACCAAGGGAAGCCACTAGGGGGCCTAAAATCTAATCATTTCCAGTTTTCGTCACACCCTACCAACACACCAAGTATGAAACCAATCCATCCAGGCGTTCTTGAGTTATCTTGTTGACCAACAGACGGACAGACGGACGGACAGATAAACGCAACTGAAAATATAACCTCCATGACACATTTCATGGAGGTAACTACAGGAAGCAAGTAGCCATAAATATGTCAACAGATCCTCACCTCTGTTGATACTGCTGAAGAAGTAGCAGTGGGTGACGACCAGCGAGCAGAGTAACAGCAGCCACAGAGGAGCTAGCGCTAGCGAGAGAGTACAAGGTACAAGGTACTCCAAGCCGATAATGTATGGGAGGCTCTGGGGCCATACGTAATAAATGATCTCCACCATACTTAGGGCCCAGAGAGCAATGAGTATAAGCATTCCCAAAGTAGGCAGAATATAAAAGTAGGAGAAGTCAATATTTTTCAAGAAGAACACTAAAGCAACCAGCGGAAGGATACAGAACAAGATTCCATGAGGAAGAAACAAGGCAAAGAGAGGCACACTTTCAGGATCGTCGTAATGCGAGGCCACTAAAATCTTTACTATAAATCCAATAGGAAATCCCGTGATCAGCACGTAGAAAGTCAGATAGTATTTAAGTGATTTGATTAATTTCTCTGTCTTTTTCCATTGGATGAAAGCCATGACCATGAATTTGATGACGTCCAGAATTACTAGGGGAGTGACGGCAATTTTAGCAGTGATGTTGAGGTTGATAGAAGGAATTGGAAAGAAATACATCGCAGCGAACAAAGTTGCGAAGAATCGGAAAATGTCCAAGGCGATTCTCCTCTTCTCCCACCAGAGAGGGTCGTCTGAAAATATGAAGAGCAGTCAGGTTTGTACGAACATGTTTATGAATCAATCTTGTAACCGTAGCAGGTATAGCATTACAATGCCGCTGAATGTACTTGTGTAAACATTCAATACCGTACTTGTATCAAAGTGGTTGTCATGATAGTGACATATTAGTTGGCCGTGTTTCCCTAGTGCACCCTATTATGATTGTCAACGCGACGGAGTGAGCCACCTATAGGAATCCCCATAGGGTGAAAACTGTGTTCTGCCAACTTATATAAGCGTGACCCCTCCCCAAAAAAGACTCGCCGCTCCAGTCGTGGATAGAAACACACACTGCCCAAAGGCATGAAAAGTGTGGTATCAAACAAATACGAGAAGCTACCTTAAAATTATTTCTTACCAGGAATATCATCTTCATGATCTGCACTGGACAGGTTCTCGCTGCAAGAGAAGGAATGCCATTTGTGTTTATCGCTCCCTTAAAAGCCACGAGGATATATTTATCTCAAATATAGGGATGAAGTAAACAAACATGGTCGCCCTTTTCTTACATTAGTTTCATATTCATAAATATAATTATAAATCATCCCTTTTCAACGACCTAGCCTACGATTCACAAACGAACGAGTTCACAATGTATTAAACCTACCAGTAGAAAAAGCGTCCATATTTGCATGCAGGGTATATTGCAACAGAAAGCACCCACACCACAATGGCGACGGCGATGAGAATAACTGCAACAACAAAAACGGATTTAAGCTTCTTCTGTTTTCTGACAGTAGAAGCATTGCAATATGATTCGTCGCAATCCTGTTTTACCGCCACTTTTCCTCAAAGCTTCATGTAGAATATTGTAAATTGCATGTTAGATTTAGGAGTTTTACAAGTAGAAATTTAAAAAATGATACATTACTCCCGTGACAACTACATATGTGATACAAAACCCCGCAATGAACAGTAACATTTCAAAACTTTTTTACTATATTATACCTGACTTTTAAGCATTAAATATTGTATTGTTTCCAAACAAGGGAACATTTCCTACATAGTTTCGTTTTATAAATGAACGTGACGTCGAAAGGGCCGAACATTTGTTGATTTTCACTAGCCGACATGATGTTCTTACACTACCCTTACATGCAAGCACAGTCGCGGTCGTGTCGTTTCCAGAATCCTTCGCTGAGCAGCAGGTAGCAGAGATGTTCCTATCGCCGACTTCCCAGACATACGGACATACTGTCGAGGTATTCGCGAGGGATCCGTTGGTGGCAATCATGGCGTTTCCCCTACTAGAAAACAAGCCTTCTCTGAGTACATATGCAGTATAAAGTACAAAGTTCCATGGATCCACCCAGTCAACTTAGGTTCAAGGATATGAAAGAGGTTTCTGACATATATAACATTGAAAAAATAACTTCGATAACATTAGTTTTATACCTCAGACACATGTACATTTTGATGATTAGCAGTTAAGTGGATCATTATCCCTTCCTCGAAGGCTATTCTTGTAATACTTTTATCAAAAATCAATGTTCAAAAACTCCCTACACATACCTTTACTGGTATGTGGACATCGACCTGACCTTTGCATAACCAACGCTTTTCCGTCCACGGCGCACCTTGTTGCTTCAAATATTTGCACAGAACTCGTCACATGTACACCTATATGATGCAATCAGAAAATCATTTGCATAATTGTTAAGGAAATGCTATAATACTTGGTAGTTTTCTTTGTTAAGATAAGACTGTCATTGGACAACTCCACTAATTTAGATGGAGAAGATGATCAACTGTTATAATTCATGCAAATGAGGACATTACTTGCATAATCTAAATTCATAATATGTCAGTCGTTAAGGTCAAAACGAGTCATAGTCATTTTAGGTCAATTTGAGATCTTTGATATACAGGATATTTGCCATTCTAGGCAAGACTGAACACTGGCATTGAACAAGCGTTTCAGTCGATAAAAGTGAATCACAGGAAGTATTGCACTTCGTATCAAGGTTGATAGGTGTCGCTATGTGATAGACTCTTAATATCCAGCACGAGAATAATTTCTATAATGTGAAATTTTTTTATTGGTTGGACAAAAAGGTGACCTTTTTGGTTGGCTTTCAGTTTGTTTTCTTCAGTTTGTTTACATGTTAGTCACGCAGTCAGAACCAATAATATTTATCTAAACACCTCGCTGTGCAAGGGAGGCGTTTAGATAAACATTTGAAGATAGGATAAAATTATCCGGATCCAGCCGAATTGATTCGCTTTGATCCGGATTCGATCCAGCTCGAAGCCGGCTTGATCGGGCCCGAAGCCGGATTAAAGCGAATCCGGATCGATCCGGGCAATGGATTTTACCGTAGAGGGAATGGGGCCAAAATGAATCAATTTGGCTCTATCCGGATCTTCTCCCAGTGGAAAAAGTTCCCTATAGAAATGTCAATCAATCAGGTGCTGCGTGAACCTGTCCCCAACAGCCTATACAGAACTGGGTATTCAAACGTGTTCTGGTCACCTATGTGTTTAGGAATTGTGATAATCTGAGATAGAGCACTTCAAAGACCATCCTTAAAGTCCGTTTGTTGACTTTATTTTATGATATGTTAGTATGTCATAGTTAACATATCATGCTATATTTTAGAGGTGCACATGTTACCAAATTAAGCCACATTTTGTATTTCATATCTCTCTCTCTCTTTTGTACATAGCTCATTCCAATATTCAACATTCATGCCTAACATGATATGTTATGTACAGTTGATAATCAATATTTCAATATTATCAATACTAATAACTAGAAACTTGGTTTCGTAAGCCTTGGTTTAGTAAGTTTTTTTGTAAGCCTGATAAAGTATGGGTATTTCAATTCTGACCTAAGATGTGCTTGTGCCTGTGTAAGCAGCTTGTTCAACAGAACGGTGTACAACATTTTGTTTGCTGACTTTGCCTCCATATTCTTCCTAGTGGTTACAGTTGAAATATCACACTTTCCAATGTTGAAGTGACAGTGTTACATGGAGTATGGCAATTGTCACCACTACCTCAATCATCTAAAGCCATATCCAGCATTGGAGATTACAATCAAGAACCCATGGCACAGGTGAACTATCATGCCAATACATGTACCAACACAAGAAAGCCATATCTGTTAACTCGATACACAGTATAATTCCTCAACAAATGTACAGTCGTGTTTTGGTTTTAAGGTTGTTTTCGATACCAGTTTTTCATTTGGTACTTTAAACTTAACATGTTTGGTGCTTTAACTTTGATATGTGTACTTTGATTTCTATACAAGATCAAGAACAGGGACCATGGTATCCATTATGATTAAGATGAGTTAAAATGTTACTATGCAAAGTTCCTGAACAGGGATATGGTTTCTGTAATCACATTATTCACTATGCCTGTTGGAGTTAAGTATATGCTTAAGTCAGCCATACTCAAACCAAAGACTGCTCATATTTTGCTACACCAATACAATCATTGTTACACACGTTATTGAACACATATTGAGTCTCAAAACGTTTATATGTATGCATCATATGATCTACATTTTTGTCATACACTGGAACTGTACGGTCACTCCTCTAACTTAACAAGCAGCCCATAGAGTGTATGCGCTCCTCTTTCTTTGGTAAACCATTCCATTTCCTGGTTGCTGAAGAGTGGGTCGATAGTTTCGCCCCTCCCGGTAGCGCCAACCGTCTCACCCATAACTTTGTAGCAACCTGGTCTGACACACACCTGGAAGGCGACACGGGCTGTGTATTTCTTCCTGTCTTGATTATCTTGAAACCTGTGGAATGTGAATGTAGTATTTACGTGGGACATAAGCATGAGTTTGTTGTAACTTTCGCATATGGCACAGCTGTGGTTTTCATAGATTCAGTAGCAGAGTCAAATATTTTTAACAACGTTTTCTACATCCTACAATGGAAGAATCTTGTTGAAGATGGATTGTAACCAAATCTAGGCATTCATGGAGACTTTGACTGGATGGGTAAATTGATGAGAACTTATATTAGGCTTTTCGAAATGCTAATTAAGACCATATGTGTTGAGCAATGAGTCTTTTGTCATCATCGGCACTACTTGTTTGTATTGCAGCACATTCACAAAGCCGTTTTAGCTATTCTACGACGTGAATGGATCCTGTCTGTTTTCGTTTGTAGATAAGATGACATCTGTCATTTAGGCTTGGCCACATCGACCTGTGGTGATTCCATAAGTTACTGAAGAAATTGAAAAATTGTTCACCTTTTTGGCTCGGCATAAATGTCACGTCCAGAGTATTTGATGCTTGGTGACGTGAACACCTGTACGCTGTCAAAGCCTCTGCCTTTGCCTGGTCCTAGCTCGTCACCTCCAAACGTAACGTCTCCTGTAATGAAAATAAATTGAGTCATACATTACAATTTTGTGGGTAAGGCAGTGTAGTCCCGTTGCATTCCTTACAAAGCATAGGGGTAGTGTCCATCTCCATTTTTGGAGCCCTTGGGCCAGAGCTGTGCAAGCACTACAGCAGGGGGCTGTTAGTGCTGTGTGTTTGACCATCCCATACTCTTTCTCGTATGACAAGTGCTGAGCCTAGAAAGCATGCAATTTGTAAAGTCTTTGGGTAACCTGGTACCACGGTAATACTCGAGACATCTTCGATCTGTCTCATTTTATTTCTACAGAACTAACGTAGAAATATGAATTGACCCTTGATTAACGATAATAGTGAATAACAATAACAGTATTTAATGACCTTTACCTGGCATGAGTAGTTGTGAGCTGGTCTGCAGGATTTTCTTCACAGCGCTTGCGGCAGTCCCATGGTACGCCCGGTGCCAGTTCTCGAACACTTTCAGGTTCTTGTCTTTGAAGGATGGATTTATGCTGTATGAATGGAGATTATGCACGTGGATGATACGTTTTGTAGGTAGTGCGTATAGAAAATGGATATACATGTAAAATAACAAAGATGCTCGAGTTCTTGTTTATGCAATAGTTTTGAAATTTCTCAATTAGGCATATGTGCATGGGTATTTGTTGACTGTATGCAAAGTTTAAGATTTTGTCCAGTCATTATGACTGAAAAATGCATATTTTGTCCTCACCTGAGGCCAAATCTAGCCCAACCAACAGGCACGGCATACTTGGTCTCCGGGTTGCCTCGCAGATAAGAGTCCGGCTCCCCCCGGTTCCGGTGACATGTCTCACAGAAACACTTGTCGTGGTCAGGCGAAAAGTAGGTGTCTGTAACAGTGAGTGATTCGAATTTCGTAAACATGTCATTGATTTTTCGACACGTTCAAAATCAGATACAATGCTGAGAATGCAAAAATATTCAAAGTTTTCATCATGCCCATGTGTCAGCTCCCCAGACGGCTGTTCCTGAGAAATTATTTCAATTTCAAGTTTCAACGGTCAAACTTGGTGACACTTGAGGAATAAGTTCAACAGTGTACTCATCGTGCATGAAAAGCTACCAGTATATATCGTCATCAATGCCTACTGAACAGAAATACAGATCATTAACTGGTAAGACTGAAACCAGTTATCTGGTGTAAGCGATCTGGTGGAAAATTCAACGAGACTTTTCTCTTGGTCTGAACAGTAATTGAATTTACATGTACTTAAATAATAAAAGAAGGTTATATGCGAGAAGCACATTCTTACCTTCAATTTCCAAAGTGTTCTTGAACCGCTGGCACGCCAACCAGTAGTCACAGTTGGGCCCCTAGAGAATGGAGGATAGTTAGCATCTACATTTTATACTGACCATCCCTAGCTTCATTCTTACAGATTTAATACAATAAGCATTTAACCCTATATTTTTGTAATAAGAAATGTAAGTAGGGATAAAATGTTAAGGAAAATTACCTGTATATACCTGATTTGATGATATGGTCCGCGATCTTGAATTTTGACCAATGACGTCATCAAATTAGCATAAATTATTTTTCAATTATAAAATTTAAATAGAATTACATTAGATGCTAATATTAGAAACCATTTGTAACTTGACATAAAACGCATAAAATTCTATTGTTGAAACGAAAATTACTAAATTTCACAAACAACTGCCTAACAGAAACCCGTTGCCATGGCAACACAAAAATCACAAACTTATTCCACTGATACGAAATTGTTCCAAAGTACATTTTAGGAAAAGTCACCAAGTTGGTTCTAGCGGTGGTTCTAGCGCAAGTCGTTCAGACACTATCGGACATGAAAGTTGGCGCGGGCACTTTTAGCCCCCCCCCCTCGTCTAAATAGGATTAACGAAGATTCCTTATCAAAAAACTCAATTTCAGTGAAATTGCCAACGATTGCCACATTCAGATTTATCACTGATACCCACCGTAGGTACAGATATCTCTGCAGTTGTGAGAGGTACTGCGGGTCGAGCTCTCTCCCCACGACGAAAAGGACGAATCATCTCCCTTGGGCCGGGGTACAGCTCGACCATTGAGAAGGCGTCTCTCCCCATATCCTCTACCTTCACGTCGAACTCCAACCTGCGAGTTCTCTCACAGTAGAACGTGAAGTTGACGCCGTACATGTCGTTCACCATCTCCACGTCAGGATGGATGTTCCCGTGGAAAAGTGCGCAGAACGTCTCGTTTTCCACCATGGACACTGGTGGAGTCGGTGTACCTTCCTGTTGGATAGAGTTTCAACTTTGTAAGTATGTTGAATATTTACATTCGAATCTTTAGGCTCCTAGAGTTCGTGGAACACATACTTTCGTCAGGTGTAGATATTTTTTTTTTGTTAATATAAGAAGAAGATGAATAGCAACTATATTTGTATATGAATATACAATTTTCTTTGTATCAATATCTGGATAATCGCAACCAAAAGAAACCAGCTTTTGTTTTCAAGGCGCCAGATCATGTTGCAGGTTGACCTACATTCCAGTGCGAGATGTGTCCCGGGATCCCGGATTCTTGGACGTTATTATCAAGCCAATCATAGAATATGATTACCTCATTTCTTATGTAAATTAGATCCTGATTTGCATAATACATATTTGCATCTCATTATCTTTCTCTTCACCTGAGGCACATATCGGTACCCGTGCTCCAGTTATTTGCAATCAAACTTTGAAACAAAAACGCCCACTGCAGTTCCAACGAAGCTGCTAGGAGGCATGAGCCATACTCCCAGTCCCAACAGTTTTCGACTACAGTACTTACATATCATGAACCTAACTCTTAAGGCAAATTTGACCTCAAACTTTGAAGCTTCGCTGCAATACCTAAAACAGTCACTAGGAGGACCATAATCAAACTTGACCTGCGTCCCTCCTATTCCTACCTAACCACTTAATATCATTAACAACCATCCGCATTTTATCGAGTTATGTTGTACACAAACAAAACCCCCAAAATACGCAACTCTGTAGCAACGTAGGGACGTGATATTTAAACTTGAACTTTGTTTCTATAACCGTTGCTCACCTACCAAATATCGATAAGATCCATTCACAATTTTTAGAGTTATCCTGCATAGATTCAATGACAGATGCACAAAAACTCCGCTGCAGTACGATTGGAAAAAGCCAGGTGGACCATTTTTGTCCTTGAACCACATTTCACATTAGTTACCACTGTTTTCTGACATACCTGTAGCTCGTATTTCTCCTCATTGATGGTGCGGCAGATGCGGTCCTGAACGGATTCTTCCAGCACACACTCCATCCGGGCGGTCATCTTCCCCAACTCTCGAGGTTCGATCCACTTCTTGAAGATGACAGTTCTGACGTGTCGGGCGCGAACGTTTTTAGTGACGAGGTTGACAACTCCAGTCGTATCCGAGCCGTCACCGCAGCGAAGCACAACAAACCTGAGATAAAATTATCAGTCCAGTTAGAGAGAAATCCAAAATTAGACTCATACGAAATTTCACCGTTACGGCATGGAAATATATTTACTACAAATTTAACTCCAATTTAGTCTCTACGGGTGACTAACAGGTCGTCAGCATTTGATGTTCAACGGTAGGGATACTGACTTTCAAAGGGGGAATGGAAATCTTCCATTCAAAGTCGAAAGATTCAACTTCTTGCTTTCAGTGTCATAGTCAACCAACCATACATTTGTACATGTCGACTGCATTGTAGCTACTTACCCAGAACTGAGCCGATCTGTCTTGAAAGCCACCTTTGTTTCCTTTAGCACGACATCCTCCACCTGACTGGTGATATCTTCCCATTGCCCTCTATCGTTACAGCTGAGAACCCGAACTTGGCCGTCTTTTTCACCAGGCGACAGCGGTAGCATGATAGTAGCAGGGCGGTTCAACAGCAGGTTGCTGCCTTTGACAAAGTTGACGATGTGGCTCATGCCGTCGATTCCTCCCATGATCTGGGGATCATCTAGCCCTGCGCGTGCGAGGGTGTCTCCGTCGACTGGCGTGACCTGCATTAGGCAGAAAAATAAGGTGATGAGAGAAACATAGACACTTTTGAAAAAGGAAGCAGTACATGACTTTACTGGTCATTGTGAGATATTCCGTTGGTAGTAGATCAAATTCGCTGTTAGTACATTCTATTTGCCTTTTAATACCCCAATTACTTTGCTTTAGAATAGAGAAAAAATGCAATTGTGTACTTACGTTAAACGAGATCTCTTTCTCTTCTGGGATGCTGTCCTCGAGAAGGATCAGTTTGATTTCCGTCTGTTCTGATGAGGTCAGCGTTGACGCTTCCCCCTTTGTGACTCTGTGACAGTGCTCCAATGGCCTCGCCACCACAGCGAACGAAGAGAAGTGTGTTACCTCTACCGTAACAAACCTCTGTCCCTAAAGTACAGATGAAATCAAATATGTCAACACTTGAAATTAAATAGGACAGGCTCATTACACTGTATCAAAAGGAGATTGAAACGAAACCCAATATATCATATGAGCTCTCCGATCCCTAAAACAGTTATTGTTCATGATCAACACTTACTTGTTCTTGGTCGCTCAGTGTTCTCAAAGCCACCCATGTCCTCCCGTCATCCTCTGATGTCATCACGACGTACTCCCTTTCGCAGTCGAACTTTGGAAAAGAATGTGGAATCTTCAGCTTTACGGGCTTGTAAAACGTCATCCCCGATGGTCTCATCTCAATGATGTCGCTGACTAGGAGTTCGTTGTTCTTCAGCTGGAGCGTTCCGTCGTACCCGTGCGGGTTCAGCACTGCTGAGATGACGGACGTATCCTCATCTGTAGCTCCGGGAGGAATGCTCAAGTTGCAGCCGGCCAGGAGGTCCAAGGACTGTACGGTGTCCGTGACTGTTGATACCTGGCAGCTATTGAATACAAACGGATGAGTCAGCTTTTTTCAACCATATACTCAACATACTGTACAGGACACACACGTGAAATTGTACACACTCATTATTTGTCGCTGTTTCTATGACGAATGCGACTACCTACAAGTACTAAAAACACCTACCTTATCTCTTTGTCGTATTCATCTGGAACAGTTTGGCCTAGGCGCCATTCCTCTTCCTGCTCCAAAGCTACTGCCTTTGCCGTTTCATCGGTGATTTCTTGCAATAGCTCTTCCATCGCCATCGCAGATGTGGCATCTAAGATAGCATTCTCTTCATCTAGGTATTCTTTGCTGACTTCGTTCGCAAGGGTTGACGTGACGTCTTCATATATGGACCTAAAGATGTTGTCTTCACACTCCTGCTCTGCAGTAACAACTTCATCCATGGTGATGTCACAAATGCTCTCTTTGACGATTTCGACGACGTTTTCTGATAAATCTTCAATGATTGTTTCGTCAATAACCACCGCTCCAATGGTGGCTACGAGACTGTTGATGCAGCGCTCTACCAGCAGCTCAGTGCGGACGGAGACCACGCCCTTTTTTACAATTTCGTGGTCGGGAAGCTGCAGTACCGGGGTGTCGTACAGGACAAGACCTGTTTTTGTCCCTATCTTTTTGTCCTTTAGTTGCCGCAGCTGATGAAGCGTGGTTGGCAAACTGGACAGGCGGCGATTTCCCTCCAAATCAAGGGTCTCCAGATTGAGAAGGCTCCCGAAGCTGTCAGGAAGCGTCCGCAGTTTGTTACCGGCGAGGTGGATTTCCTTCAACGAGGATACCAGTCCGATAGTGTCCGGAAGTGTCTCGATACCGCAGTAACTGACGTTAAGGCTTTCTATGACTTCAAGGTTTTCAAGTCCGTCTGGTAGCAAACGTAGTGAACTGTTTTCCTCTAGGTCCAAGATCTTTAACTTTCGAGGGCCTTTCAACCGCAGGTCACCCTTGTGGTTGTTCAGCTTGTTTCGCTTCATCTCTAAGATCTCGAGACACCCGAGTGAATTGGCTGATTCCGGAATGAATTTAAAGGCGTTGCCGTTTAGTATCAGGACCTTAAGTTGCTTCAGTCCTGAAATGTCAGCCGGCAGAGTGGTCAGTGAATTCTTGGACAGATCAAGGAATTCAACTGTGGCCAGGAGAGTAAGATTGCTGGGAAGCGAGTTTAGCTTGCAGTCGCTTAAACTGATGTATTTCAAGTCTTTCAGCCGCACCATTGTCTCCGGAAGGGCAGAAATCTGGGGATTCCGGGAAAAGTCCATTTTACTGATATGGGCACACCTTGAAATGGCCTCACTGATATCTTTGATGGGACAGCCACCTGCTTTCATCTCCTTTAGGTTGTAAAGGTTCGCGATATCAGCCGGTATGGCGACCAAAGGGTTGTCTGAGACGTCCAAGATCTCAGCTTCCCTGATGCGGAACACGGCTGCCGGTATCTCGTTCAGACACTTCTGCGAGATATTGAGTTCTTTTTCCTCTGTCATTTGAGCTCTTAGATATGCCTCTGTCCAATTGTCGTCCTTAGCGCCTTCTCTTTTGTGTTGTTTTCTCTTTGGCGTGGTCTTAGCACTTGCTTTCGCTGGCTTTCTTGGCGTTCTTCGGTCCATTTTGGACCCTTTTCAAAAGTGGCCTATTTGGTGTTCTTTACTATGTCCTATATTATGACAGATAAGCATGTGTGAAGTCAATATAGGTGCCCATAAATTTTCCACCCTTGTGTCATACAGGCGGTAAGCGCACGTCACACTATTTTATGACCCACCTGCCAACACAAGCAGCATATTATTAGAACCATATGATTATATCAAGGTTTTCCTAGCCCTATTCTTTGTAGTTGTCAGTCGACAGATATGTACAAATATTTCTGTATGAGAAACTTGGTTCTAACGAGTGTTTAGTCGGTCCGGGAAATGGTCGGGGGCAACACACGAAATAGCTAAGCATGGCAACCCATACACGTACGTCATATGATACGCTAAAGGTTTTTTTCAGTACTGATACGCCAGTCATGGTCTAGTCTCTGTGGAAGGGTACATGTATGTAGCCGCTGATAAATTTGACAAATCCATAAAAATGTTTGTCTTTACTTGGATAAATACGTGGTTTGCAAGAATGGGCGATAAGGATATTAAAAACATCACTGGCTTTCAGCCGAGCAACCGTGGCTGGCACCATGCACAAACATCACAACAATGACATTCAGCTTGGCTTGTTATCCCCTCATAGTGAAAAATGACTAATTGCAAAGTAGACCCTGGGCAACCGACTACCATGCCATTCAGAACGGAGCTAATAAGCAAATAGAGAGATTCCATATCTCTGTTGTCAGGAAGTAAATAGCTCTCTCAGGCCGTGTTTACGTGCACGTTACGGCTATGTACATGGTAAAACGTATACGTAAAGGCACTAAACTGTTACATTAACGTTATACGACCCCTACCTAATTGTTTTAATTTAATGTTCGGCCATGCTGATTTGATTACATGGATGACATCCACACGCTATAAATTTTTGAAAAAATTTTCGTCTGTTTCGAAAAAAAAAACGTTTTCGACTGTAAATCGTACAAAGTGAGTATATATCATATGTTGCAAAAAAAGTATCGGGAAACGATACTAATATCATAGAATGCCGAAATCAATTTTGGAAAGGAGAAAAATGCGAAGAAATGAAAACGAAGAGTCCATTTATATTCCTCATACCATACTCTGAGTGTTTGGTCATTTGTTCAACCTTTATGACCACCTAGATTTCATAATGAAGGGAAATTTTTAGCCAAACTTTTTTTATTCGCATTTTGGGGTTCCCAGAGGATGTCATCTATATGATCAAATCAACATGGCCTCATCAGTGCTACTAGGTAATAGATAGAGACATAGCAGTACGTGAATTACGCAAAATACGTGTATCCTTTGCGAACTAACCTCTTTTGAATTGACGTAACTTTAATATGCTGAATAACAACAGACTTTAAAATGTTAATAATAAAATATGATACTAAATACAACTTCAGGACCTATCGACCGACATTGGACCAAGTGTATGACAAAATAGTGACAAATTGTTGAATGGTAATCGTTCTGAAAGAAGAAGAAACTGTCATGATGTTCATACACGATCATGATTCTACCTTCGATTGTTAAAATAGTCTTACGTTCTGCCATATAGACACAATTGTTTCTTACCCTTGTTGACGACAGATAGTTGTTAGAACAACACCTTTCGGTCCATGCTATGTGGAGAGGAATCAACATGCAAGAACTCCTGTAAGCCGTGAGAGTATGCGTGTAGTCGAAAGGACAACTGTTTGAACTAATGCCGAGCAAGAGGCTTGGCCTGTAGCAAAAGCGTACGTACAATTATGTCTTTGAGTGTTTGCTTCCCTTTGTTCTGAAAATCAAGATAACGTTGCGGGGGAGCGGAAACTCTGGAGGTAGTTGAAAAGTAGTTTTCAATAGGAGTCGTGGGGGTCAATATACCTTTATTGCCATTCTTACTTGAGGGAAGCCTTCGCAAGCCGGACCTTGTTTAATGGCTTAAATCTACACAATGCTTCGTAGGTTTGATGCATTTCTACTCAAGGTACATGATTGAATCACCACTATATATATGTATATAGCACGGTGGAACTACACTTTACACCAAACGCTTGACACCAAACATTGCTTGGATGGGTGGGGGTGACTCGAGGTGGCTCCGTAATACCTGAAATACAATAGAAGTAACAAAAATTGTAGAGAATTTCAAAAGGTGATATTGTCTAATTTTGCCCAAGAGTATACGTCGGGAGATGGGCTTGATGTGGTAAACATTTATCTGACTGCCAACTGGCTCAGGAACTTTGACACTCAATCGACTGGATCGGATGAACAAAGCTAACTTTACAGAGACGATATATGTCAAACAACCCTCTACATTTTTTATTCATCTTCCTATATATTGTATCCACTATATACAGCTAAAATATTTAAACATTGATAGTGTCCTCAGTCATTCAATGAAATGTAATATAATCATATGAAAGAACCTACTCTGTTAGATTAGAACTCATCTTATTCCTTTTGCAGCAAGCTCTTCAGTAACTCTTTGGAGATAACCTGGATCTGGGTATCCATAGCTGCAGCAAAGGATATCAGTATGTTGGAAACTTTGCAACGAATGTGGTTTGATGGTTTATAAACATGTCAACAGTGAATGCACTCCGGAAAATTGAAGGCCAATGCGGAATAGATTAAGAAATATACCGAAGCCATAAGATAGATATCAGCCTACTTTGATGCCCCGCCGTACGGGCTTGTTTTGTGGTGAATGTCGTTCCAAGTAACAACATCCGTCTCGCCGGTTGTCACTGATGTCCCTACGGTGAAGACTAGGCGATTGTCAAAGGCCTTCTTCAGCAACCGGAGAACTTCTCGTCCCCCTGTATTGTCCGGTAGGAAGGCGTCTCGCTCTGTTCCTCTGTATGGTTTCCCTGGATTTGGGTGGCATTCCTACAAAGAACATTAATCGCGTATATCACTATGATCATCACCAACATCAGTATCATATGGCTCAGTATGATTTTCAGAAATGAAAATTGCCCTGTAGATTTTTGTATTAAATCTACACGGCAATTTTCATTTCTGAAACATATATTGAAATGCACATGTTGACGTATTGATAGTTGTGATATGTTGGCGTCAATGTCTCACCTCCTGTGTGCCACTGGGTACAGAGTAGTGAATCTGTATTCTCCCACAGTCGGGGTGACCTGGAAGGGATTGCGAGCTCTCCATGACTTCCATCGTGCCTCCTATTGGCTGAGTGCCTTTCAGAGCCCCATACTGATGACCACATATAGGACACACGGGTTTGATTTCAAAAGCTTGGTCAATACAATCAGAACAGAATTCATTGCCGCAGCAATCGAGCATTCTCGGCTGTGCAGCTTTGTCCATGCAGATTGGACAGTCGCTGTCGTCGGTGGATTCAGACGGTTGAGCATCAGTGGGGTTTGATGATAGTCCGCCGCTGAATGTTCGAACAAATACGGCATTGAGTTGGTCGTCAATGTTGACAAACCTGATGTCACGAAGTGTGTTGTTTTGGGGAGGAGACTGGGCGAAGTTCACTGTTGCCAACATCAGTTGTTCGGCGCAAACGTCCACTGGTATCCCGTGCGTTCCTGTCAAAAGCAATATCTAGAATTATGAACTTAATATTGATCGTACTTTTCCCATAGTAACCTGTTTTTAGATTGTCAAACATTTCAGAATCTACCAATCATGTATATACATGTATAAGGTCATGCTAAACACCAATCATGCGTGAAGGCATGCTAATAGTCCTTCCGAAAACTCTTGTTACGCACCTGCACATATGGCTGGAATAGCGATGGACGTTCCTTTCAGTGTGTTGGATGCGTAGTAGAGAACATTATTCAGTGTTTGATATAGTTTTTCCTGTATGGTTTCGTTGTCATCATAGCTGTCCCATTTCGGTCCCACGGTGTGAATGATGTGTTTACAACTCATTTTCCCGGCCCCTGTGTGCATAACGTCCCCGATGGTTAACCTACCATGCTTTTTCACATATTCCTGGGACTCCTTTTGAATCGTCTTTCCGCCAGCCTTGCAAATAGCACGTGAGATTCCACCCCTATGCTCAAGTGCTTTGTTTGCAGTGTTGACCACAACATCTACCTTTTCCTTTGTTATATCTCCACGGAAAATCTTTACCGTGATGTCGACTACTGTTCCTTCAAAGCGTATGTCGCTAGATGTTTGAAAAGAGGCATACTCAGGGCCAGTCCTTGTTTCCCCGTCTACCGTGTGTCCTCTTGCACCCATGTCCTTTTCAATGGCCTCTGTCGTGTCGCTCGTTACTTAAATCAGGTCTTTGTTCATTGGTGGCTGCTGCTGCTGTATATAACCTTTTGCCCTTGAATGTAAAAGAGGATACCTCGCCTCGTCGAAAAGTACAGCAAAATTGTGTAGAGCTACATGTGTAGACCGGACATGCTTTGCCTGACAGCAGTTTGTATCCGTCTACTACAGATTAATTCACATTAGATTGTGTACAGTAAACAAGTAAGGCATAATAGCTGCAAGTCGACCCCTAGTTGTAAGGGTAGCTGGCGATCTTGTTTGCACCTTCCCATTCTAAATCACATTGACGGGACACATAAATACTTGTGCTACCTGGTGACCGGTATATGCAACAAAGGACAGTGTGTCTCCAAAGTTATTCAAATACAGTACAAACACTTCCTTGATTTATCTACAACTTATAACTTAATTTTGAATGAATGATATTGATAAATTAGTGAGTTCATATATTTTCATGAGACCCCCTTGATCATCAAATAGGAGACCGAACACGACAATATCCCTGATGACAAGGAATTTTGGGGCAAGTAATAATAAGATCGTGTATCACGTCTCACCTTTTCTTTTCAAACGGGTCATAAATAACGTTGTGTAAAGTACAAAGTTGCACCCGGTCAACAAGGGTTAAGGATATGAATGAGATTTCTGACATGTTTAACAGTGAAAAAATGACGTTGGTAACATCACACCTCAGACACATGTACGCCGTCACGCCGTCTATCCAATGACGGTAACGTTTATCTTAACATCCTCTTCAAACAACCCCGTAATTGAATGAAAGACAAACATCTGTAAAACTGTCAATCATTCTGTCGCTGCGTACACCTACCCCCAACCGCCTGAATAGACCTTGGCATTCAAGCGCGTTTTGGTCACCTGGCTGAACAACAGCATGCGGATTTATGACCATTTTGCGACCTGACGGGTGTGTTTATGGGCGCATTAGTTCGTTCCCGTGTTACCATTCCTGACATCTTTGCAACACGCTGCACCGCTGGCTTTCAACTTTCCACAACAACGGTAGGAAGCGCTTGTTATTGTGGTTATGTTTGTGTTTGTATATATGATGGAGGTCACGACATCTTTTTAACATTTAATTTAATATTTAGGGATTATTTTTCATTCCTACTTCAATACTCTTAACAACGTTCACATTTAAGTAATGTAACTTAAATGTAGGGTTGGAAGAACAATTATTACATGATGTAATCAAACATGCAAATGAATATCTCGCACAATTACTCAAATATTAATATTGTTCCTTTGTAGTAAATGATACTTGTGGCATAAGCACAGCTATATGTATATTAGACGCTTCGCATAATTACACACTATCTAGAAATAAGCAGCGTCAAATTTATAAACCTCTAATACATATTTCACGGAGGTATTTCTTGCTTTTCATGTCGTACCCAAAATGTTCACATGTCGTACCCAAAATGTTTCCGCTCATCTACAGAGTTATCTTGATTTCAACGACAAAAGAGAGTAAACACTAGAAAGTTTAAATGCCGTGACAACAGCACAGCTACTCTGGTATTAGAATATCGCTTCGTATATCCCTTAGAATATTTAGAAAGTTATTACTAACTACAGTATAATTTAGTTAATTTCAAAAGTGAGTGTTTACACTTGTTCTGGGGCTATATGAGCTGTCAGTACAGCGTTTGTTAATCAATAACATTGATTATCTGCGGTTTGTGACAAGACAAGAATATCTGCGAGGCAAGAGAATGTGTAATGCCAAATGTGACGCCAAACTTACCAAAACTCAGCATTTGTGTGCATACAATAGTAAGATATCTTAGTTGCGCGGCATGTAACGCTATTTCCGAAATTAGACCATGGAACGCTGTCTACCCGAGGACCATTAATCATGTCCACGTTGAGGAAGCAATTATAGTTACCTGCCTTTTCACCCTTTGAAAAGAACGTGTACAGGAAGGCCAAGGTAAAATGCCACTGTTGCACAACTCTAATATGGTGCTAGCAACATGTCGGAAAGTGTTATTGACTGACTTAAGATATGATAGAAATCTCTATCAAGTTAGCTGTCTTCTTTTTTGCACGTCATAGCCCTTTTCGACCCTTACCACTTATTCCATGAACACAAAGCTAAATAAATGTGCATTTGCGAGCTTTTGCTAATAATTGTCCTCTAACTTAGATATTGTATTACCTGTGGTTCTATGTCTGTAATTATTAAATTACCACCCAATAACAACGTCCAGAGCGTTAATTAATTATCGGGCTAAGCAGGGGGGTTGTTTCATGCCACCCTACTTCCCATGCATGACTTAACCAAGACACCACAGAGAGAATTTTAACTCTTCGTGCTCTTTCTCGTGGTTCTATTCCCCATAGATTTTCAGGTTTGACAAATGACTCTTTGTATAACCATTCCAGTTCAGTTGACCTGTCAAGTTGAATAGACCTTCCATGCATTCGTGCATAGCAACATGAACCATAACAGGCTCGGCTAGTTGCTCAACTACGCCGAGCTGATCTTTCACCTCTTTAATCTGGTTGTTAACGTGTCAAACGTCTAGGCCCATTTAATACGATCGTCGCCAGTTGCCAAACGGCAATGATAAATGAATTTTAGCTGTGGCACTGGGAGGCAACCAACACAACACATACCTCAGTACAGTGATAGATCATATAGTAATTAGTTTGTGGAAGGGTCATATATTTTGAGCCAATATACTGAGGGCCAAGCAGTTCAGTTCCGTCAATGCTGAAGAAAATGTAAGAGACGTATTCAATTTTGCTTCCCCTCATTGCCCCGCTATCTGTGTTGCGAAAGGGGTTCTCAGCTAAGGTGCAGGAACCACCATGCGTCTGTAGAAATGTCTTACAAAAATGCCATACGATTTGATTGATACATTGTCCATTACTTAAAATGTCTTTGTGTAAACCTGATAACAATAATAGGGCCAAAGATGAATCGCACTGGAAGACCAAAATCAGCAAAAGCACGACCACGGACGGCAGCAACAAAAGGAGGTTGGACAGAGTCGTACCTAAGGGCCCAAATCACGGAGAAAGAACTTAATCTTTCGAACAAGTCTCTGACTGAAATACCACCAGCCGTCTTCCGTATCGAGGAGGTTGAAATCCTGGACGTGTCAGACAATCCTCTGGGTTCTATACCGGCTGGCATCGCAACTCTTTCGAATCTTAAGGAGATGAGAGTGGCCGGTTGCCCCATCACAGAAATCAGCGGTTCTGTTCAAGAGTGCAAATATCTGAGCAAAATCGACTTTTCAAGGAATCCGCTGATTGCCACAGTAACTCTCCCAGCAACATTGAAGCGGCTGAGATACCTTGAATACGTTGCTTTGCGCAGTTGCAGCCTCAAGTCTCTCCCCAACAATCTAACTCACCTGGAAACAGTTCAAACCATTGATCTGTCCAAAAATGCGCTGTCTACCCTCCCAGATGATATGTTCGGTCTGAAGCAACTGAAAGTCCTGATCCTCACCGATAACGCCTTTGAAAGCATTCCGGATTCCATCATGTCTCTCGGGCGTCTTGAGTGCTTAGAGATGAAACGCAACAAACTCAACAACCGACGGGGAGACTTGTGGTTAAGCGTTCCTCCGAAGCTGAAGATCTTGGATGTGGAGGACAACTGCTCCTTGGTCTTGTTGCCAGACGGATTTGAGCAGCTTAAATATGTTGAGGAACTGAATATCAGCTACTGTGGCATCGAGACACTCCCGGACTCCCTTGGACGGGTATCATCATTAAAGACAATCCACCTCGCCGGTAACAAACTGCGCACGCTTCCTGACAGCTTCGGACGCCTGCGCAATCTGGAGACCCTTGATTTGGAAGGAAATCGCCGTCTGACCAGTTTGCCGCCTTCACTGCACCGCTTGAGGGAACTAAGAGACAGGCAAATTGGCAAAAATACGGGTCTCGTCCTTAGCAACACTCCGGCACTACAGGTTCCAGACCACAAAATTGTCAGAGAAGGTGTAGTCTCCGTACGTACCGACCTGTTGGCAGAGGAATGCTACAACCAGGTTACAGTCACCATAGCAACGGAGGTAATCGACGACACAATCATCGACAATCTGTCAGACGACATTGTCACCATCGTTGAAGGGGGGTTACCTGCTGACCTGATGATATACATGATAGATGTTGCAATCGAAGAAGAAGAATGCGCCTTCGATTCCATCCTTCTGGAGCTTGTGAGGGAAATCAGCAACGAAACCGTCGACGAAGAAAATGCTATCTTAAATACAATAGCACGCCCCGTGATGGAAGAACTTATGGAGGAAATCGTCATGGCAACAGCAAAGTCAATCGCCTTGGAAGAGGAGGAAGAGTGGCGCCTGGGGCAAACTGTTCCAGAAGAATACGACAAGCCGTTCAGGTAAGTGCAAAAAATCTAGCCTCTTGTGATGGAAATTCTAGATCTACTTCCGGGTAATTATAAACAAGAGCATAAAATATTTGTTAAGTGTCATCAATATCATAACTGAAATTGTACAAATGGCTGAAAAAGCTAACTCATCAATTTGTCTTCCACAGTTATGAGATATCAACAGTAAAAAGCGCAGTGCAGTCCTTGGACCTTCCTGCTGGCTGCAAGTTGAGTATTCCTCCCGGAGCTACAGATGAAGATACATCCGTCATCTCAATGGTTTTAAACCCGCACGGGTACGACGGAACGCTCCAGCTGGAAGACAACCAGCTTCTAGTCAGCGACATCATCGAGATGAGGCCATCGGGGATGACGTTCTACGAGCCCGTACAGCTGAAGATTCCACATTCTTTTCCCAAGTTTGACTGCGAAAGGGAGTACATCGTGATGACATCAGAGGATAACGGGAGGACATGGGTGGCTTTGAAAACACTGAGCGACCAAGAACAAGTAAGTGATGATCATGAACCACAACTGTTTTAGGGATAGGAGAGCTCATATGATATATTAGGTATAAAGTTTCAATTAAATCTCCTTTTGATACAGTGGTGTGAGCCTGTCCTATTTAATTTCAAATGTTGACATTTTATCTGTATGTCTGTGCGTCAGGGACAGAGGTTTGTTACGGTAGAGGTAACACACTTCTCTTCGTTCGCTGTGGTGGCGAGGCCATTGGAGCACTGTCACAGAGTCACAAAGGGGGAAGCGTCAACGCTGACGTCATCAGAACAGACGGGAATCAAACTGATCCTTCTCGAGGACAGCATCCCAGAAGAGAAAGACATCTCGTTTAACGTAAGTAGACAATTACATTTTTCTCTATTCTAAAGCAACGGTACCAAAAAGGCAAATACAGCGTACTAACAGCGTATTTGATCTACTACCATGGAAACATCTCACAACGAAGTCATGTACTGCTTCCTTTTTCAAAAGTGTCTATGTTTCTCTCATCACCTTATTTTTCTACCTGATGCAGGTCACGCCAGTCGACGGAGACACCCTTGCACGCGCAGGGCTAGATGATCCCCAAATCATGGGAGGAATCGACGGCATGAGCCACATCGTCAACTTTGTCAAAGGCAGCAACCTGCTGTTGAACCGCCCCGCTACTATCATGCTGCCGCTGTCGCCTGGTGCAGAAGACGGCCAAGTCCGCGTTCTCAGCTGTAACGATAGAGGGCAATGGGAAGATATCACCAGTCAGGTGGAGGATGTCGTGCTGCAGGAGACAAAGGTGGCTTTCAAGACAGACCGGCTCAGTTCTGGGTAAGTAGCTACAATACAATGTATGGTTGACTATGACACTGAAAGCAAAAAGTTGAATCTTTCGACTTTGAATGGAAGATGATTTCCATTCCCCCTTTCCTTCCTTTTGTTGAACAACAAATGCTGACGACCTGTTAGTCACACGTAGAGACTAAACTGGAGTTAAATTTGTAGTAAATATATTTCCATGCCGTTACGGTGAAATTTAATCAATATATGAGTCTAATTTTGGGATTTTCTCTAACTGGACTGATAATTTTATCTCAGGTTTGTTGTGCTTCGCTGCGGCGACGGCTCGGATGCGACTGGAGTTGTCAACCTCGTCACTAAAAACGTTCGCGCCCGACACGTCAGAACTGTCATCTTCAAGAAGTGGATCGAACCTCGAGAGTTGGGGAAGATGACCGCCCGGATGGAGTGTGTGCTGGAAGAATCCGTTCAAGACCGCATCTGTCGCACCATCAACGAGGAGAAATACGAGCTACAGGTATGCCTATAGAGTTGGATTGCAAAGGTTCCATATGGTTAACGTTACTCGCATAATGTTGAAGACAAAATCTCTCTCGACAGAATACATGGTGTCCGTTTAATTTGTCTTTGGCCAGGAGTCGTGCCGGTACTAAAAAGTTAAAATTCTCTCCCACAGGAAGGTACACCTACTCCTCCAGTGTCCATGGTGGAAAACGAGACGTTCTGCGCACTTTTCCACGGGAACATCCATCCTGACGTGGAGATGGTGAACGACATGTACGGCGTCAACTTCACGTTCTACTGTGAGAGAACGCGCAGGCTTGAGTTCGACGTGAAGGTAGAAGATATGGGGAGGGATGCCTTCTCATTGGTCGAGCTGTACCCCGGCCCAAGGGAGATGATTCGTCCTTTTCGTCCTGGAGAGATAGCTCGACCTGCAGAACCTCTCACTTTTGCAGAAATATCTGTACCTACGGTGAGTATCATAGCCTCGAGTCCAGCCTTGTTAGCTTTGGTCCCCTCCCCAATATCCGCTACGTACCCAGCCGGATCTTGGAGAGCATACCAAAGCTAACAAGGCTGGACTCCAGGATATGAGTATCAGTGATGAATCTGAATCTGGCAATCCTCGGCAAGTTTTTTAAAATTGAGTTTTGAGAAGGAATCTCCATTAAATGTATATTGTATTAAATCTGTTAACGACAAGAATACAGCTAGGATTGGTCAGTTAAAATGTAGATGCTAAGTATCATCCATTCCCCAGGGGCCAAACTGTGACTACTGGTTGGCGTGCCAGCGGTTCAAGAACACTTTAGGAATTGAAGGTAAGAATGTGCTTTTCGTCTACAACCTCTTTGGTTACAATGTGGAAGGAAATTCAATGTACCTCTAACACAATAGAATTGAATTTTCCTCCAGACAGCTTACTCCATGTTATTGGTTTCACGATTAGTTTTACCTGTATTGATCTGTGTTTTTTGTTTATTAGTCATTCATGATGACATGTACCGGTAGTTTGGATGCACAAGTAGCTTGTTGAAGTAATTAATGTTTTAGTATTATTATTTTCTTGGAGTGGACACATCACAACTTGAATACATGTATTTTGCATTCCTAGATTTTCATTGGGAGGCATCTGTTTGTGAACGTGTTGACAATCAATGACATGTTTATGAAATTCTTAATTCGAATCACTCTCTGTTCTAGATACCTACTTTTCTCCTGACCACGACAAGTGTTTCTGTGAGACATGTCACCGAGACCGGGGGGAGCCGGACTTTTATCTGCGAGGAAACCCGGAGAAGAAGTACGCGGTACCAGTTGGTTGGGCCAGATTTGGTCTCAGGTGAGTTGTAAGGTCTTGACTGACAGCGTTCTATGAATTTCATGAAACAAGTTTCAACTGCAATAGCCAATAGCAAAAAAAAAATGAATTTTCGACTGAATAACTCCAGCCTTTGTCAAGAAATGAGTAATCCACTGCTTTCATGACGTAACGTAGATAACACACGTGACTCCGTGAGCAGTGGATTATAGGTTCCGGATAGTCTGTTGCGATCCCCGTCTCTGTTGGGGGATGGTTGTAATGCCCTGATTCTATGAATGTTGAGTAAATTACGATGCGGCTGCATACAAAATAGTATGTAATTTTTGATCTTGGAAACGTTACAATATCGGTATTACTAATTTCCCATTTGTGTAGCTTTCTGTTATCAAGCATACATGTAGTTCAGCAACGGAATGTTTTCAAACAGCGTCGAGAATATATATTTTGGTAAAACAATGTGGCAAAGTCTACTGTGATATGTTTCTTTTTTTTGCAGCATAAATCCATCCTTCAGGGATGCGGACCTCAACGTGTTTACCAACTGGCACCGTGCGTACCACGGGACAAAGCAAGATGTGGTGACGAGAATTCTACAAGGGAGCTCAATGCTTCTCATGCCAGGTACTGTTTATGCAAATACATGTGTACAGGTGTATTTATGCACATACATGTAGGTATATACCAAAGTATCAATTCTGATAAAAGTATCACTATCACATTTTTGCCTCTCTGCTTTTATTTTTGCTTCTCAATTCCTTGTTGTCTACAACTTATAGTTGGGACTGTTTTCTGCTCTATATCTTACATGTATACCAACAGGAGACGTACCGCTAGGTGGCGGTATGTTAAGAGTGAGACCGGGCCACATCACTCCTGATGTCTCCCCACGCGGGTTCGACACCGTACAAGTGTTCGTGTCGCCGAGCATCGTGTACTCTGGGCTGGATGCATACGCTAGTCCCCAGAGGTGAGAGAATGTGTAGTATATGAATACACTTACTTTTTACTTACATTTTTTTTCAACCAGTTACACATCAAGTGACAAAAGAGTAGCAAAAATCGCCCAAAATAAAACATTTTGTAACAGCAAAGAAAGCAAACTGTTACTGGCCTGGACTTCGGATTCGCATGAAAACAAAAACCTAAACTGGGATGCTTCAAGTGATACATTCAAAATCTTCAAACAGGTTCAGAGACGAGCATGACGGTAAGATGTACAAGGCCCGTGTGGCCTTCCAGCTGTGTATCCGGCCGGGCAGCTATGAGATCGGACCGGAGACGGTGGGTGCCAGGAGGAGGGGCGAAACAATCGACCCACTCTTCAGTAACCATGAGCTGGAATGGTCCACTAGGGAAAGAGGAGGCCATGCACTCTACGGACTACTTGTCAAGTTAGATGCTATGTGATGATGATAACCGTAATAACAGCGATCAACGTTTACATTTTGAAATATAAGAAAACCAAACGCAGCTGGAAATATTTGCTTACTAAACGTGACAAGTTCTAATTGGACCAGATGTCAACTTTTGAAACAAAACTTACAACGGCATGTATGTAACAAATGATTGTATTGGTGTAGCCAAAATATGAGCATTGTCTTAGTCTGACTATAGATAGCTTTGTATAAACTTATGTAGGGAATAATGTGACTACAAAAACCAAATCCATGTTCTGGAACTTTGCATAGTAACATTTAACTTACCTTACAATGTAATCGATACCATCACTGTACTTGATCTTGTATATAAACCAAACTACAGGTATCAAACAAAGTTAAAGCAGCAAGTGTGTCAAAGGTAAAAGCATCGAATGAAACACAAGCAAATCTGGTACTACATAAAAAAAGAACCAGTAAAACTGCACTGAGAACTGTTTGTGCATTGTTGAGGGATGGTACTAGTATCATATAAACAGATTATTGTTTTTCCTGGCTTGATATTAGCATGAAAGTTCATCTGTGTTGGTAGACGTTATCATGAAACAGATTCTTGATGGTAACCTCCAACACAGGTCTTTTAGATGATGAGGTAGGAGTGATACAGTTGCCACATAACACAGTCTCTTCAAACATGGGAAGTCATGTTTTAGTTTCAGGCTCAACCTCTTCAAAGAATATCGGGACAGAGTCAGTAAACAATGTAGCACACAGCAATGTAGCAGACAGTACTACTGTCTGAGGCTTCTTTAAGTTTGCCAAAACGAGTGATTTAGGTCAATTTGAGCTCGTTACTTGATAGACAGGATATTTGCCTTGTAGGCAAGATTGAACAATGGTTATAGCCATGAACAAGCGTTTAATTAGATAAAACTGACTCAGAGGAAGAATTGCACTTCGATCAATATTGATACATGTAGGTGTCGCTGTGTGATAGACTCTCACGTTGTTCTTAAAAGAACAAAAAAAGACTAACTTCTAGAATGTGAAATGTGTTAATTGGGTTAATAAAAAAGGCGATAATTTCGGTTGGCTTCATTATACAGTATGTCGTCTTTTACTACTTATATGTTAGTCAGTATATAATAGTCACGTAGCCAGAACCAGTAACGTTTATCTAGATTAAGATAAACATATTAAGACATCTATAGAAATGCCAATCAATCCACTGCTGCATGCACCTGTCCCAAACCGCCTAAACAGACCTTGGTATTCAAATGTGTTCTGGTCACCTAGCTGAACAATAGCATGTGTAAAGTCCGCTCGTATTTTCCGGTCTGACTACGTGCTCATCGACACATTAGCTCGTTAGCATGATAACGATCTACTTGTAACAGAAGTATTTGTTTGCTGCACGACTGGCCGCCATCCATCCACAACAAGGGTAGGAAATTTTCGTATTGCGACACTTGTGATCATGTAATGCAGTATTATTTGTGTGATGCACAGTGATAGCAACATAAATTATCCTGTCCATTTCTCTCTAGGGCTTCTACTCGACTCTCAACAAAGGTATGACAGGTACTCGTTACGTACATTTAGAAATGTCTGCTTCCTTGTATAATTGTCAGAAGTCCTACTCAAAATACGTTCTGTGTTGTTAAACAATAATGTCCTCCCTAAGGGGCCTGCATGCCCTTTTCCGTAAGGCGTAATCAGGCTTTTGTAGTCTTCGTAATCCGTAGGCAGCCTCCCCAAAAATCAATAATTCGTAATAGTACATTATCCGCAAATCGTTATGTCGTAATCAGCTCTGAGATTTAAACGTAATTCGTAATCGGCGGCGAAAATTTTGTGTCGTAATCACTACTCCCCCCCCCCCATGCAGGCCCTCCCCTAATGATCGGTTGTTTAAGTCTCACAAAGAGAAGACAGATCAAGTAAGGAACACATGTGAAGTAAAAAGCCCCAAATGATAGGATGTAACAGTACAAATGCTTTCTCAAAGAAAAGGTTTATCCGCATTGATGTTTACCAAGCTTGTTTGTACCTTTTGTGTATCTAGGTATATCTACACCATTTGTCTTTCCATGTTCTATTGCAAGTGGCATAATGCTGATAGGAAAACGACAATTTGTCGTTTCAATAGATTAATTTGAGTAGGAAAGGTAGAGTATTGCGTATGAATATGTTGATTGTGAACTCTATGCAAGCAGATTTTCTTAGCTCCCAAATCTGTTGTAAAGCTTTAGCTTTGTATGAAATAGCGTTTAATCTTAGTGGCTGCAAGATGCAAATAGCCCCCTCTTTCAGCATAAGATAAATGTATTTGGAAACTGTCCAGTTAATCATCGACTGTGCGGTCACTTTACATAGCAACTGGCCCATGGTGAGATCCCCATGGTCGGGTAGACGTTGAACGAGTACATATAGCCATGTAACGTAACAGTGCTATTTGTGTTCCTGATCATTTTGCGATTTGTTTATGTTCGATCATACAATGGCGTGTTTGGTATTTGGCTACCTGCGAATGTTATCTGATGTAGCTGGCTGCAACCTACAGGACTGACATCACTAGCGACAGTGGAAGCAATAGTAGCCTGGTTACCAGACCTGTTATAGCTCTCGAGTCCTACATCCTCTGCGGAGAGGATGTATAACTCGGGAGCTATGATAGGTCTGGTAACCAGGCTAAGGAATAGTTTACTGTAGCCATTTTAAGTGCGTGGTGTGTATAGTGCAATGTAGTGTTGTGTCGCGGTGGTCAGATGCTACAAAGATCGGTACAGTCTGCGTAACTGGCGAGGTTAGAAGACATTCTCATTGCTTTTGATTGGACATATTTGTTGGATGTTTTGTCTTGTAGATGGATAGCTATTTAACTCTCATGTGGCTACGATAATCGCCAGTCCTTGTTGATTTATTAAAATTTCAAAAGGACATTTGTCGACAATGATTGAAAAATTGTTTAATGATATATATCGAATTTATTGATATAATCAGCGCGATTTTAGCATTTTTGCAAGGGCCATGGTTATAAGTCCTGATAAACATTTGCATTGGCAAAGAAAATGATACAGAGTAATTGTATGAAGGTATTTAGTCGTGTGCAGCTGAACGTGTTGATTACCTAATTGTGACAGCGGATGAGGGCGCGCGGGAGACAACCAACGTCAACGAGAACCCCAAGAACAAGAAGCTTATCGGCTTCCGACAACAACGAAAGGCCATCATCAGCAAGCAGGTCTAGGACTGGACTGAGTCCATCAAGGCTACCAGAAATAGACATGAATTAGAGGTCACTAACGTCAAGGAGAAGCCCAAGCCCGCGCTGAAGAAGGCTATCGGTTTCTGACAACAACGAGAGGACATCAACAACAAGCAGGTCCAGGACATCGAGTCTGAGTGTGCCAACAAAAATGGACGGGAGTGAGAGGCCATCAACTTCAAGACCAAGCCCAAGAGGGCTATCAATTCCTGACAGCACTAGGAGGCCAGCAACAACAGGCAGTCCTAGGAGACCAAGGCCAGGAAGGCAAGAGGAAACGGATGAGCACGGGGAGACATTCACGACAGCATATCTGAGAGCCGAAATGAGGGAGACAGATTCCTGCAAGGAAATAAACCTCTCGAACAAGTCTCTGACTGAAATACCACCAGCCGTCTTCCGTATCGAGGAGGTCGAAATCCTTGACCTGTCAGACAACCCTCTGGGTTCTATACCGATTAATATCGGGAGTATTTCTAACCTGAGAGAGATGAGAGCTGCCGGCTGTGACATCCAAGAAATCAGTGGGAATATTTCAAAGTGCAAGTACCTGAGAAAAATCGACTTTTCACGAAATCCGAACATTGCTAAACTTCCAGCAACAATGAAGCAACTTGCGTACCTGAGGTACCTCACACTTTCCGGCTGCGAGCTGGAATCGCTTCCCGATAATCTGACTCTATTGGCCAAAATTGAAACTCTTGATTTGTCAAAGAACAGTCTGTCAACACTCCCTTCCGACTTTGCAGAGCTTAAGCGGATGAAGGTCCTCATCCTCAGCGACAACGTATTTAGAAGCATTCCAGAAGCCATCCAGTTGCTTGGGCGTCTCGACTGCTTAGAGATGAAGCGAAACAAGCTAAATAACCTCAAGGGTGACCTAGTGCTGAACGTCCCTCCAAAGTTAAAGATCTTGGACATGGAGGAAAACGTCTCCTTACGGTTACTCCCTGCAGGCATTGAAAACCTTGAAGTCATAGAGGTCCTCAATTTCAGTTACTGCGGTGTCGAGACACTTCCGGACTCTATCGGGCAGGTATCCACGCTAAAAGAATTCCACCTCGCCGGTAACAAACTGCGCACGCTTCCTGACAGCTTCGGACGCCTGCTTAATCTGGAGACCCTTGATTTGGAGGGAAACCGTCGCCTGTCCACATTGCCTCTCTCTCTGCATCACCTGCGGAAGCTGAAAGACAAAGCAACAGGGACTAAGAAGGGAATGATCTTGGACGACGCCCCTCTAGACTTCCCTGAACTAAATATTGTCAAAGAAGGCGTGGCCTCCATCCTCACTGAGCTACTGGTTGAAGATAGCCTCAACTACATCACAGAAACTATCAGTAAGGAAGTGGCTGACGACACCATCAACGAAGGCCTGACAGAGAGTCTGTCAGACGACATCGTCGCTATCGTTAAAGAAGGTTTACCTGATGACCTGATGTTGTACATGATAGACGTCGCGGTGGACGTTGAACGGGGATGCAAGGGGGGCGTCATTGAAGCTGTAGCCGAGGAAGATGCTCTTTTGTTTGTGGACGAGTATGAAAATGCAAAAAGAGATATGCAGGTAGTTGGTTCTGCGTGGAGAGTGATGGTGGAGTTGTTGGAAGAAACCAACAGGTCGATGACAAAGGAAGTCGTGCCGGATGCTGCAGCAGAGGTCGTCCTGGAGGAACTTCTGCAGTTGGAAGTAAAGGAAGTCGCCACAAGCGCCATTCTAGAGGCTAGCGCTGTAGCAGAGGAAGTGCTGGAAGAGATTCTGTTGGAAGTCCAAGAGGCAACGGCAAAGTCGGTCGCCTTAGAAGTGGAGGAAGAATGGCGCTTGGGCCAGACTGTTCCAGAAGAATACGACAAACGATACAGGTGCCTAAAGTTTTCATCCCTTTGAACACTTTTGTTTTAAGTCGCTACCGATGAGTGGGCTAAAGCAATAAAACATGTATATGTTTCCAATAATTCTAGAAAATTAAATAGAGCTAAGAGGCATAAATAAACTCAAAGAAACAGACCCTAATGTAGAACGACATGAACTTCTGTCAGAAATGAAAGACAAACAGTACTAGAAACTAAACTCTGTGTGCTACACCTCTTAAAGAGGAGGGCTGATTGTGGGGCTGAAATATTCGACTCGTATCTCCAACAGCTATAGGATATCAACAAACACAACCACCGGGCAATCCGTAGACCTTCCGGCCGGCTGCAGCTTGAGTATCCCCCCAGGAGCGGCTCGTGAAGACTCGGCCATCATCTCAGTAGTAATGAACCCGCACGGCTACGCTGGGACACTCATGATTGGGGACAACGAGCAACTAGTCAGCGACATCATCGAGATGGGCCCAGCGGGGAAGACATTCGCGAAGCCCGTAAAGCTGAAGATCCCCCACTCCCTCCCCAAATTCAACAAGGAAAGGGAATACGTTGTGATGAACTCAGACGATCAGGGCACGACGTGGAGTATAATGAAGACACTGAGCGAAGCAGATCAGGTAGGTACGCTGACAGCTTCACCAGACAGAATGTATTGGTACACATACAGCGATAAGTGTTACCATTTCGTGACAAATTAAATAACTGTACATCTATCTCCAATGCCAATGGCTATTGCTTATAGCTAGCCAGTATGATATCAATATGAATTCATACTACAGGAAAGGTTCACGTAAGAGCTATGTAGATTTGTCTTTGGATTTAAACATATATAGTCAAACAGTCAGAATCAGTGCGATTGGCATTTCTAAATCCTAAGCTTTGGCCCCTTTGCTTCTTTCAGGGTGACAGGCATGTGACGGTTGAGGTGACTTACTTGTCTACCTATGCTGTCGTGGCGAGGCCATTGGAGCACCGCCACCGAGTAAAGAAAGGGGAAGCCTCAACACTCAAGTCATCGGAACAAACAGGGATTGAGGTATCTCTGCCTGCAGACTCTGCTCCTGACGGCAAAGAAATCTCAATTCGAGTAAGTACAACGATACAGCAATACTTTATGGTGAGGTGTGCCAGTTACGAGTAACTTTTCAAAGTACCGCACAGAGCATACAACAACAGAAAACCCGGTACTAAGTCCAGGGGACGTTCCTGGGAAACATGGATAGAGAGTGTGAAGGACACCCTGACTAGGTATGGCATGCCTCCAGATCTAGACTAGCCGTCGGCCTCCAACTGTCACTCCCCACGACGCCCCTGATGGTTGAAGTAGAAGGATAAAGTAAAGTAAAGTAAAGTAATCACTATGCAAAAAAGTGTCAGGAGAAGCAGATCTATGAATATACAGAGCTATTGTACACCTTTTGACAGCTTCTTACCTTCGTTTACTTTTCTCTTACAGGTTACACCAGTTGACAGTGCAGCCATGAATCGTGCTGGACTGACAGATGCAGGCCGTATGAGCGGAATGGACAGTATGAGTCACATTGTCAGGATCGTCAAAGGCAGCAATCTGCTGTTGAACCGCCCTGCCACCATTTGGCTACCCCTGTCACCCGGAAAGGAGGACAGCAAAGTTCGTGTTCTGAGTTGCAATAAGAAAGGGAACTGGGAAGATGTCACCGACAAAGTAGATGATGTCGTCCTGAAGGAGTCAAAGGTGGCTTTCAAGACGTTCACGCTCAGTTCTGGGTGAGTAGTCACTCTTGGGTTACCTGGAAGACATAGTAAGACTAGATGAGGGGAAGACATGAAGGGTCTAAATGAAAAAAGTCTCATGACCCTTCCATTAGTAACTTATGTTTCCGCGGTAGTGCAGTTATATCACATTTATTCAATGATGCTAAAACAATGGGAAACGGTGATCTTATTACTGAATGTACTTTTAGTTCACGAATCAGTCATCCTCGCTGATCACCAGGTGTTGTTACCTTAAACAAGAAGGTTATGTTTTCAGTTTTTCCATGATGGAGTAGCTGTGTTCTGGGACTGTATGCAGGTCAACTGAATAAGTCGAAATGCTACGGATGGATCTTAATGATATTTGGTAGCTGAGTTGCGGTTGTGAAAAGGAAGGTCAAGTTCAAATATGGTTCACCAGGCGTTCTTCTACGGTACTGCAGCGGGCTGTTTTCCTTTATTTCAGGTACACAGTGATTTGCTGCGACGATAGCTCCGATGCCTCTGGGATGGTCAACCTTGTGGCCAATAGCGTTCGTGCCAGACACGTCAGGACGGTCATCTTTAAGAAGTGGATGGAACCTAGAGAGAGGGGCATCATGAAGGCCCGGATGGAGGCGGTACTCGAGGAGTCCGTTGACGATCGAATTACCTGCGCCAAAGTGGACAAGTACGAGTTGCAGGTCAGCAGAAATTCTGTGCATCTTTTCGCAAAGCGAATTAACCACGATAACAAAATTTACTTGTCAATGAGCAAAGTGGAGGGCCACAAACAGTCAAGAGGAACCTCATAAGGGCAGCATTTGTAAGAATATTGGTACTGAAGGTCAAGTTCGAAAATAGTTCACCAGGCATTTTTCTACAGTACTTCAGAGGGCTGTTTTCTTATATTTCATCTTTGTATGGTTTTGTATGCTGCATGTCCGAAGTTGGTTAGGAGAAACTTAGCACGTACAGATGATGAAAAGTTCAACTTTTCTCCAACAGGAGGGAACGCCAACCCCTTCAGTGTCCATGCTGGAAAACGAGACATTCTGCGCACTATTCAACGGGAATCTCCTTCCCGATGTTACCATGGTCAACAACCAATATGGGCAGAACTTCAAGTTCTACTGCGACAGGACGAACAGGTTGGAGTTCAACTTAAAACTAGTGGGCAAGAGCAGAGTTGTCCGTTCAAGGGTTCACATATTCCCGGGGCCGAAAGAGCTGTATCATCCGTGTGAGCGCGGCGAAACTGCTGCAACGCCACTTGCGACGGCGGAAATAACTGCACCGACTGTGAGTATTGACAGTGGCATCTTAAACATAATTTATTACTTAACCCTTGTCCTGCGGGGCCCATATATATATGGGTTGTACATACAGTAACATCTATATAGTGCCCTGTATATGTGCAATTTGGGGGTGTTTCTCGGGCAACGCATCACACCGCAGCGAAACGCAACGAATGCGAAAGTAACTACGCCGCCGCAGGGCAAAAAAAAATCAAGGGTCTGTAACCTGATTAAGACATGAAATTATTTGAAAATATTGTGTAAAAATTTAAGGGAGAAGAAAACCTGCCTGTCACATTGGAAACTAGTGTTGGGTTACATCATGTTGCAATTTTATTGTAGGAGGGATTTAGACTTTAGTCACTATATATACGAATGTGTTTGAGTAAGACTTGTCAGAGTATGCATATTATTGCCCTTCCTATGTGTGTATTGTTCTCATGAGGTTCTAATGTACTAATGAGCTGAACAAGACTTGAATCCAACTCTGACAGATTGATTTTGATACTTAGGGTAACATCTGTGATTACTGGTTGGCCTGTAGGCGCTTCAAGAAAACACTGGAAATAGAAGGTAAGCATTTACTGTCAATTGTCATCAAAATAATGGTTATATATTATCGTTTTTATTTGTGTCATTAGGACTAAATAACTTTTCTTCGAATGAATGCTTTGTTTCGAAGGTAAGCTTCAATGGTCTATCAACTAGTGAACTGTAAATGACACACAGGGTGCAAAGTACATTGTACATGGAAATCTTAGAAGTGAAGATTTCTGTGGTTTGGGCCCACCATCTATATGATATTAAGCGTAAAAAACACTATTTATTTTACAGATAGTTATTTCAACCCTGATGAAGACAGATGCTTCTGTGAGAAATGTCACAAAGATCGTGAAGAAAATGACACGTACTTCCGGGGCAGACCAAAGAAGAGGTACGCGCTCCCTGTTGGCTGGTGCAGATTTGGTCTCAGGTGAGAACAAAATTGTATTTCTAATTGTGCCTTACCTGCTCCACGATTACGAAGTAAAGCAAAAGGCTTGGATGCCACTGTTTCCAGGACCTGCATATACATGCCAACTCCTCTGATCCACGTCTATGTCCATGGAAATATTACCAAAGGCATCCCCAGGTCTCTAAGCTAGTTTGTGCTGGCCCTGACAACATTATGGCAGTCGGGCTACAATGCATGTCTTAGCATAAGTTGCAGTTATGTCATTCAAAGCTTTAGTATGGTCTATGAAGTAGTTCGATTTGACAAATTCATCATCTTTTGCTGTACAGCTTGCAGCCAACCTTTCGGGATCAAGAGTTGAATGTGTTCGGCACCTGGCACCGTGCGTACCACGGGACAAAGCAAGATGTGGTGAAATTGATTCTGAAAAACAGTTCCATGCTTCTCATGCCCGGTAAGTACATCAGATCTACATTATCTGTTCCTGTCAGTCAGAAAAGATCCTGACTGATCAAGAAACCATGCTTGTTAAAAGCACAGGGTCATTTTCCTTTCTGTTGTAGCTACTATTCTTCTTGACTAAGAGACTTGTGTTTAGGGCAAGGTGATAAGAGATGACAGTCTTCACCCCTTACTCACACTGCTTTGCGACTCTTTGAATTCCACAGACAAAATGTAACAGCATTGAAAAGATATAGCAACACTGGGTTTTGTTTTCGTGTGATCATGGCAAGACACGCACACACACACACACACACACACACACACATGCTCGCATACACACACACACACACGCGCGCACACACACACACACACCAACACCAACAGAGGCTTTGTGTTGAGGCTGTAACATTGATATTGTTTATTACAGGAGACGTTGCGATGGGTGGTCATCAGTTAGGAGAGAGACCAGGTCATTTCAATGCTGACAAGAAACCGGAAGGTTTTGACACTGCGCAAGTGTTTGTGTCACCAAGCATCGTGTATGCTGGTTTAGATCAGTATGCTACTGCTAAAAGGTAGGTACTGGTAATAATATGCTTTCACTCCACTATAGATATAGTTGAACAAGTCTAAAGAATATGATGTTTACTATTGCTTTCTAGATAGTTCTACGACTGTGTAAGGTAACATAATATATATATTTGGATGTAATGATGCAGTGCAAGTGGTATTGACTTTAGTGTGACAAAAGAGCACCAAAAATGCAGTACATGTATTTCCATTAGATAGTTCATCAAATTTGTTAGAACTACAGCTGCCAAAACATTAACATGTATCTTCAGGCTGTATCTTTCAACAAAAAAATGATACACTTACAATACAGAATCAGAGACAAAAATGATACAATTAAAATATCTTCTAACAGGTTCAGAGACGAGCATGACGGTAAGATGTACAAAGCCCGTGTGGCCTTCCAGCTGTGTATCCGGCCGGGCAGCTACAAGGTCGGACCGGAAACGGTGGGTGCTAGGAAAAGGGGCGAAACTATTGACCCACTATTCAGTAACAACGAGCTGGAATGGTCCACTGTGGAAAGAGGAGGGCATGCACTCTACGGACTACTTGTCAAGTTGGAGGAACAGTAGAGACTACGACGATGATAAAAAAAAAATGGACGTGCGTAGTTCTGCTTTATACATGTAGGTAAATTACAAAAATCTGTCTCATCTTCTAATCGTTTAACTTCACAGTCAAATTTCAGTCAAATTACTGTAACACTATCACTTGAGAATATGACATAATAGGAAAGATTTTGGCATTAGTGGTTTCACCAATAATGTAACACATCTGGATCTCTAGCCTAAGATTCAACTGCAAGTAAGAGGTTAGAATGTCATGATCATTCTTTGATGGCCACGAGGGCATAGCATCTTGGAGAGATGACAGGATCAAACACGGGGACCAGTGCAGCATGAGAGACCCCTGGCTGTTCATGCAGGAAGTGCAGTCTGTCTAGGAGGATTATGGCTTCCACACAGGGTGCAAGACAGGCGCGAAGCTGTCAAACAAGGACAGAAAACAGAAAATAAGACAAGTCAGTCCATCAATGACATGCACTACATATTATTGCATAAGAAGCTATCCCTTTAATTAGACTTGGAGTGTTATTTTCTAAATTTTTCTAAGGAAGCCCTGTATTTTAGTAATTGCTACTGAATGCCCAGACATGTACATGTATTGTAGCACATCCTTACATCATAAGGTGTCTTAAAGTTTATAAGTTTGTGTATATACATAACAATAGAAAAATTTGGCCTAAATAACATGTCAGAAATGTCAAAAAATATTCTTGTGTCTCTGAAATCAAGTACCATGTACATGTGTTATAAAATTTCCCTCACTGCACTGTACTGGGATTTTTACAGACAAAAATTTGCTTGTTTTATCAGTGTAGTCACAAGAAAACAGACACAATGAGCAACTAGATCACCTGTATGAATGCCTGCAGATGTCTCAGTTTTCCTTCGTACTGCTCAAAATAGCTGTTGATTTCCTCATCTGACAGGTCTGCATGTTCCATCTGTAGTCTCCGCAGGGCTCGTCTTACATAGTCCATGAAGTCTTTACTCTTCGCTGCAACCTTTCCAACTGTTTTGCTCCTTGAATAAAAGGAAGGCAGTACATATACATCCTCAGTTTTCAAAGTACTTTACCACTGTCCATAGATAACTCACTCACTCTCACTCACTCTCTCCCATAGCTTAGTCAGATAAAACAATCATAATATATACAAATGTATTATCTAGACTACAAAAAGTCATCAACACCAACAGATGCAAGTTGAAAGCAAAGATCTAGGAGTTAAACATTTGACACATTCAAAAGCCTTTGAAAACTGACAGTGGGACTCACTCATAGTTCAAATATCTAGACTACAAAATATCATTAACATTGACTGAGTGAGCTACATGTTAGAAACAAAATCAGTAAAACATTTGACACATCACTCACTCACTCACTCACTCACTCACCCTCTCACTCACTCACTCACTCACTCACTCACTCACTCACTCACTCACTCACTCACTCACTCACTCACTCACTCACTCACTCACTCACTCACTCACTATCCAGGCTTTGTATAATATACTGCTGCAAAGGTTCAAGGCTTTAGTCTTTGTCACTTGAACTTACTTGTCTATAGCACCAAACTTGTCCCTGACAATGACCTGTAGCACAGCCCTGTAGAACAGAGACATGGCAGGCAGCCGGCCCTCTGTGCCTATCCTCTCCACAGCCTGACATGACAACATGCGCGCTGTACGGCCCAGGGTGACACCTCTGGTCTGCAACAACTGGCTCAGGGGGAACCCATACTTCTCTGTTGCAGCTCCTGAAATATTAACATTAACACAAGATTTATTTATTTATTGAAAATGCAACAGGACATTACACTGACTCTCAAGGCAGCAAAGCTGATATTAGGGATTGGTGTCAAGAATTGTATACAATAGAGATTCATGTACAACTAGGAACTTTACATTTGCCAGACTAACTATGCTGGCTATATATAGGAGAATATTTGTCGGGGGAGTTTGGCCGCCTGGTAGGTTTGACTGGGCCGCGCAGTTCGGACAAATTTTACTCTCTTTTTTGCCAAATTCTATGATCCGTATTCACGTAGAAAGGCCTGGTGGAGGCTACAAACCGTAATGGTTGACCAAATAAGAAATGGATTGACAATGTAAGGGAGGACTTCCACCACTTGAACGTTCAACCCACAGGATAGAGGCAAGTGGTGGGTCAGTGCAAGCACGTCTAACCCTCGGGAAGTCAGGGAATAACAGACAATAAACCAAATAGTGAGTGTGAGTCCAGCTACTTCCGAAGCCTGGTAGAGGCTAGTACATGTACCTGTCTGCTGTTCTGTGAGGAGGTTATAGCAGCAGCCAACACTGCACAGCACTGCGGCCTGGGGACAGGTCACAAACAGGCGCAGCATGGTGGGGCAGAGGTCACCGCACGTGTGCAGACCTGTCAGCAGCAACTGGGACAGAAGTGAGGTCAGAGGTCAGGTCAAAAACAAGACCAGCACTACCACCTAGCAAACACTCAAATTCTGAATTTTATATGTGTGGCAAAAAACAAAGACTTTTACAAAATCAGAAATCATTATGTTGTTAGTAACCATCTGTCAGCTTGAGACACTTTCATGCTCACCCTTAAATCTGACAGTGTTTCATCATTGTTTCTAATCCCAACTAAAGCAGCCAAGTCTGTGTCAGGATGGATGTAAGCTGTTGTAGGTGTAAAAGATCCCCCTTTGCTTCTCATCTTCCTGTCTCCAGCTTTTGAACACTGAGTCTGTTTTTGTGTTGTAGATGCAACTTCTTGTTGCTTGGTACAGTTATTTTCAGAAGAACATGATTTCCTGTCTTCAGCTCTGCTCTCACTGTTCTTTGTGACAGCTTCTCCTATTGGTTCACTGACATTGCTACATTCACCATTAGCAGGAGTCTTTGCTCTGTTGACCAATATGGTCCACTGTTTCTCCAGGAGTTGGTTTCTCTTCTTGGCCCCATGTGTGTTTGAGTCTGAGGCATCCACTCCCAGTACAGTCAGCCCATGCTGCAGGTATAAACACTCACTCAGGTATCCTTTACCTGATCCTATATCGACAACCTGAATAACACATGACAACAGGAAAAAATGTCACTTGATTATAAGAAATTATATATGTATATACCAGTAGATTACAGTGAATGCAAAAGTACAATGCAGAAAAGAAATAATTATCTGTATACTAGTATCATACTAGCCAACTTCTTATGGTTAATACATGTTCCATAGCTTCTCCTTAACAAACCATGCTCAACCCTCCTAGTTTAAGGGCTTCTAATCAGAACTAGGATTTGAAATCAGCCTGCAGCACAGAAAGAGACTGAATCTTTTCTAAAACTGCCAAGATATTCATGCACTTAACTACAGGACTAGGGCATAGGAAAAAATGTTGTGTTTCCTGTTTCTGTCCTGAAAAAAAAGTAGGGTTGGTTAAAAAAATTGTCCTTAGCAGAGGGCCACACAAAAAAAGGCTAGGGTCAGCACTTTTTTCTAGCATTGTTTGGGAAATAGAATCGAAACACAACATTCTTTCCTAGGTCTAGCATGGATTCTTAAAAACTACTATATGGTATCAGTTTCATTCAACTTCAAAAAGTGCTGCAGTGGAATGGCATTGTGTTGCACATGATTTTTTTTCCTAGACATAGAGTTATTGTAAAGACATTGTCAGTACTCTAATGCTCCTCACCTGATCTATATGACATGAATGACACAGCCCAGCCACCACACCTGACAGTACCTCCACCTCGTGAGACTTCTTCACACACATGTGCTCCTTAACAAACCTCTGCTTATCTTCTTCCTTAATGTCAACTCCAAGTGTCCTCCAGATTTCTTCAAGGCTTACGCAGATCTCTGAATTGCTTAGCACATACTGTTGGGCCTCAGTTCTAAAACTTTCAAGAGGTGAGCAGCTTTTTTCACTGCCACATTTTCCACTTAACTTTTCTGTACCCTTGTTATATTCGCAGATGTGTGTAGTTTCTGACTCTGTAGTAATACTAGTACTTGATAAAATAGTACTTTTCTCTTCACCACTTTTGCTGTCTCCAGTTTCTGTTGCTTTCTTTCTTTCCCCTTGAAGTGTTGTTAAACTTGGTAAGGAGGTAAGATCAGAGTCTGAAAGAGACAGCAGCTCGTCTTGAAGATCCTTGGGCACCAGCCTGTCCCAGGTGTCTTCCGTGAAGAAGTCTACAAGATGTGCGTTGATGAGATCTGATCTGGTTTGTAGAAAGGACCACAGTTTCTCAAGTTTTGTTTGTAGGATGTGAAGACTGTCTTCTGTGACTGCCCACATGGCCGATTTATGCTGTATCCACTTATTTGAAACAAAATATTTTGTTCCTTAGCTCCAAATTCTAGTACTATAAGGAATGGAATTAATTGTGGGCTCAAACTATGTTTTGCTTCCTGTGGACCTTAAGGCTTAACCCCGTCCCTCCCCCAAGGCGATTTGCTCCTTCATATCTCAACTTCACATAGAGAAAATTCAGCAAAATTTGGTACGTTAAGTCCACACACCTTCTTGCATCAATACATCATACTGATCTAGCAAAGAACTACGAATTGAAGTAATAAAACGCTAAATACGAGGCTCCGAGTGTTCCCAACGACGTGAAAGGAACCATATTGGATTGGCACAAAGTCGACCCTAGTTCAAGGGGTGTGACTAAATTTCAATCTAAATATTTTCGACAATTAAAGAATAATAACGAAAGCTATGCCACTGTTTAAAATAGGAAGATATTTTATAGTAATAGTAAATGGCTCTTAAATCAGTTGGTTTAGATTAGTCTTATTTTGTTAAGTTTACACAATTTACAGAAGTTTTTGTCCCCTACAACAAAGTCGTCACTTCCAGGTAGAGCCTAACGGGATATTTGGGGTTAAAGGTCATGTCAGCTCATTTCCCAAGCAGACGCCGCGGTGTGGAGTGTGGGAATGTTGTGGTGCCGCTTTCTCCCCATGGAAGCCGCTCTGGGATTCCTCTAAACGCTGATTCCTGGCCCACTGTACACGGAAGACGCCTCGAGTTAAAGGTAGTGTATTTTTACTGTTTCGCGGTGTATTTCGATGGTTATCTTAGCACAGATATTATGTGAGATGTAAATAACAACGCAACGTAAAATAGCTGTATAGTGTATACAGTACTAGTTGGTGCGCACATAATTGCACTCGTTCCAGAGACACATGCCTTATTCATATGCTACACTTCAGTATGCTAACCCCTAGGATTTACCAACACAATGCAGATTTTCCCCCACTCCCCATTTTCCAACAACAGAAGCGGAAGCTTCGGTCTCAAATATCGTAGTCTGTCTATCTGTCCGATGAGTCACAGGTCTAGCGCTGGCTACCAGTCAGATATATTCAACTTCAAAAGCCTTTGGTCCAATTTGTCATCGTGATACGTCCGTTATAGAGGATATTACTTTACACTAGGAGTGTGCAACTGCGCCGTACATTCTGTTCGAATCCAGGTCGCCCTAGTTTCTGTATTTGCCGGTGTTCCCTTACTGTTATACGTGACCCCAGTAAAATTATTTGCCGTGGGACAGCAACCATAACAAACCGGGCATGTAAAGCGGAAGGCATGCACGTAATTTGCAGTTCCTCATGTTTTCCCTTGCGCCTAGACAGTGGAGAGTGTTGTTTTTGTACAGGTTCGTTACCCAGGCTGAGTAGGTACAGGCTTTAGTGTGGGCGGGGCGGGGAAAAGAAAGGCGGTAGAAATGTGATCTACCTGTGCGAGTAAGCGTGACGTCTGGGCTGAAGGGACCATACAGAATCAGGGCTCGAAATTCATTTTTGGGAAAAGTGCACTGGTGCAAAAATTGGCTACACAAAAAATTTTTGGGTATAACATAAGGCATATAAGATACAATGTCAGCAAGAACTAATTAGTTTCTTTTCTAAAAAAAATTACTCTGACAATGATTCTATTATTTTCTGACACTTGTGATCCAGGGCTCGAAATTCATTTTTGGGAAAAGTGCACTGGTGCAAAAAAATGGCTACACAAAAATTTTTTGGGTACAACATATGACATATAAGATACAATGTCAGCAAAAAAACTAATTAGTTTCTTTTCTAAAAAATACTCTGACAATGATTCTATTATTTTCTGACACTTGTGATCCAGGGCTTGAAATTCATTTTTGGGAACAGGTGCACTGGTTCAAAAACTGGTTGCACAAAAAATTTTTGGGGGTGCACCATATAAGATAGAATAAGTAGAATGTCAGCGAAAACTAATTTTGTTTCATTTTTAAAGAAAAGTACTCACAATGATTCTATTATTTTCTGACATTTGTGATCCAGGGCTCGAAATTCACTTTTGGGAAAAGGTGCACTGGTGCAAAAATTGGGTGCACAAGATAAAATAAGTAGAATGTCAGCAAAAACTAATTATGTTTCATTTCTAAAGAAAAGTAGTCTCAATGATTTTAAAATTTTTCACACACTTTATGAGATGTTAAGAATAGGAGATGTTAAGAACATGCCATAAACTACTGTATATTCCACATCTTAACATACGCGAAAATATATGAAAGTATATGGGTGCCAGCAAAAAATTGGTTACACAGCTCCAAATATGGGTGCACTAAGGTATTTTGAGCCCTGTGATCTCAGGGATGGCTGTTATACAATGTATAGGGGGCAGCCAGACGTGAAGAAAAACATCCCTTTACCTGCCTTGGGTGGCTGGGCTTTGTAGATTGGCACGGGAAATAAATTTTGTGTAAGTCAATTTGTTTTATTGCTTATTCGATATTACTCCGTGCATTATTTGTGTTGTTATTGCACCATTGGGTTTCTTGTAATGTTTTGTTTACTAATTAAATAGTTGAATAATTACAATCATAAACAAGTTAACCATTAGAATGATTTTTTAGCCTGGATTTTTTTCAATGATCGAAAAGCCACATTTTCAGTCAAAGAGCTTGGATATAATACTAGTAAGCATTTTTTGCCAGCAGTATTGGCTTTTTCAAGTATCCATGGGAATCAAAGAACTTACATTATTGGGGGCCCGCAAGCCCTTTTCCGTAGAGCGTAATCAGCCGTTTTAATTCTACGTAGAGCGTAGACGGACCGCTCTAATATTTTTGCGTAGAGCGTATTCCGCGTTTTAATTCTAATGCGTTGTAGCCACTTCGAATTAATCGTAAAGCGTAATCGAGAGGTTTCCGAATTCAGCGTAGAGCGTTGTCGGGACCCCCCCTTGCAAGCCTTCATTATTAAAATGGCATAACATAGATTCTGCTTTAAAGATCTCAATCAATGAAGCATGTTTGTCTATAACTTATAAGGAACTTGAGATATCGAGTTTGGAATCCAAAAGACAATCATTGAGATAAATCTGTGGTATGGGACAAGTATGTTTTATTGATTGAAGGCCAACAGATTGAGTATTCTCGGTCAGTGAACCTCTTTTATACCACCAGAGGTTAGGGGTGTCAAGGCTTTTAGTTCTAATTTCAGGGTCCAAAATTCATTTTCCCTGGAATAGGTGCACTGGTGCACCCAACCTAAAATTTTTTTGGTGCATCATATATGAGAAAAATAAAACTAAGTAAAATGTCAGCAAAAACTAACACAAATATACAAAAATATTTGAATGTACCTGAGAAAAATATTGTGTGCACCTATAGTATTTTGACCCCTACAATGTATGTAGTAGCAGAATATGTTTATTAATAGACATCACAAAAATCTATTGGTCAACCAAAAAGGAAACAATTTTACAATTACTTTATGCATTACCTTGTATTCAAAGTTTAACCACATAATACTTTTATAGTGTTTTGATTGTGTCACACAAATTTGACATTGGTAGAATAGCAAATGATGGAAACTAGTCATGTACAGCTACTTAGTACTAGTGCACTGCTTCATCCCCCACAACAATTACTGGTTTGTCCCTTTTCACTTCTTTATCACTTTCTTGACGTCATAAATCCATTACTCAGCTATCAAATTTTATGTCTCCCCTGAATTGTGGCCTTGATTTTATTAAGTCAAGAAGTGCAGGGTAGAATCTCCAGTAATTGGCAATTGCATACCCCACACCTGACTTTAATAGACAGTCAAGGTCTTCTAAAGATGCGTTAGACCACACCAATTTATTTTGTTGGTTCTCGGATTTTTTCAGAAAAATTTGAAGCGACATGGCGAAACTAAATAAAAAACTAAAAACAGGTCTAGGCATCCTATTATAGCCCCAGATGCTACGATAGTAGCCAGGAATTTGAAGTCAACACAAAAGGCTGGGTTAATATTTAAACAATGAACTTTTAATCAAACCACTGGGCATGCACGGATAGATGGAAAAACTGTAACATCTAGGAAGAAAATGACTTTCCTTAACTGTTGGGGGCAAAATATGAACATAGTTGATTTGATTCTAGATATTTTTTTTTGCAAATCAGAAAAAAATGAAGAGGCGAATCCGAGAACCAACAAATTGAATTGGTGTGGTCTTCTCAGTAGATGTCACAGTTAATGACTCTGTAATTTCACAGAAATTCTAGAACAGTAATAGCGCCCAACCCCAAGAGGATGCTGAAAAGGTGTTCACGCAACCATACATCACTTGTAATGTCTGCAATACAGATTCAGTGATAATGGGAACATCTTTAATTGGTGTCATTTTAATCCCCCTCTTGAAAGAATACACATGCATTTGCATTTATTCTCAAAGAATTGTATCTAGGGATTTCTATATAACAAATGTATGTCTGTTGAGAAATTTATGAAAGAAATTTTATCTCTCTTCACCAGGTGGAATATGGATATATGCAGGGGTGATTAAAAGATAATGTTACATTTTATAGTTATACCTCAGGCTTATAAATGTATCATTTACACTACAGTATGCACAGAATTCTCCCAAACCTGTGTAATATTAATAGGAACTGTTAATTGCCTTATTATACATTACAGGTAGGTGAACATACTGTTTTATAGCTTTGACACTTGTTTGAGGTATTAGCTTATAAGCATCAAATGTGCATATAAATTACCATATGAGGCAGTGGTCTAATATCCTTGCTGCCACTCAAGCTAATCTTTTTCCTGGGTGTAATACCTTAACTTATATTAAGCTTTGCTTTGTCATATCCTGAACCCTGAAGAAGTGACACCTGGCTTCCAAATGTCATATATATACTACTAGTACTCAGATAAGCAAAGTGGCGACAAAGCCTCAGTGTTAACATTATACAGTGTCATGTACAGGTATTTTGTAATACATTTTATATCATACCCTGGCCGCGATAACGTTCGATAACGGGT